TTTTTTTTTTTTTTTTTTTTTTTTAACGTATACAGCACTAGAGACAACATTTGAATGAAGCTGCTTTCAGATAAATAAAATGAAGGTGGAAAATTTTAAATAGCTGTGCAAATCAGTTTTCGGGATTTTGCTTTTCTGACAGTTATGTCCAAGCCTAATTTTTTTTTTTTTCATTTTCAATTAATACGAAGATTCTTAAAGCTGCAGTATCAGACCTGAAATAAGGCAGTTTCAGTTTTACTGATTGACAGCTAAGAAATTAGATGGACTAGCTTGAAAGTACGTAGGACTTAAAGGCACAGTAGAGGGAGCTGGAAGGAAAGGAAACTTCTTGCTTCCAGCTGGAAGCCCTATTGATATCTTGGTAATGTCAAGTATGTGAATGTGTCTATTTGATCTTCCTTCTTAAGTTTCAGTCTCTTTTAGGAAATACAATAGAGAAGAAGAAGGAATTTATTTTGTATATTTCAAAATTGTAGCATTTTTCCTGTAACAAAAATACAAAAAAATTATCACAAGGACAGATGCCCCCCTACCCCCAGGGAAGAAAAAAACCAAACCCAAACCAAATAAAAAGGCAGCCAGAAGAAAAGAGATTCTTTTGAGACTTGTAATACAACACATCAGTGATGAAAAGGAGTCTGTTACTAATGTTTAGTAATGGACTTCACAACCGTATGCGTCATTGTCTAAATACAGAAAAATGTGTAAAAAGAGACAGTTAAAATAAATAAGCTGTTGCATCCCAAGTTTTCAAAGAAAGTTCTCAGTAAATTTCCCTGAATTAGATGAAACAACTAAGGAAAAGCTGTCTTAGGATAGTAGAAGGGGGACAACAATTTGAAAAAGACTTTTATCTCTTTTTATTTATTTTTTATGTCAGAAATTTCAAGCAATTTATTTAATTTTATGTAATAGCTATAGTAATCCTTTTTCCCTGTCATTTTCAATTTAAAGACTATATTTTAATATAGTGCAGTTACAGGCATGCAATATCTGAATCATCATTAATATGCTTTTACCATTCTTTTGCTTTTTTATTTTGTAGGTTACATTTTGAAGCTGTGTCTCAGACTTCTCCTATTACCTTGCACCTCTTTCTGAGGAATATATTTGCTGTCTGTGACATTAATGTCATGGAAGGAGCACTCTTCTGTGATTCCATCTGTTCCAGGGAGATACTTTATAAGGAACAAGTATGTGTGGCTTAAAATAATATACTGGATTTGATTTTACTTTTTGATCAGCTTTATTTCATCATTGCAAAATAAATGTTGCAATATGCTAATCCTTTTTACAAAATACTTCATTTTCCGTGAGTTATCGGGTCTTCCTTTCTGAAGTATTTTAGTATTTTGTGTCCTGGTGGAAAGATGGTTTCTGAATCAATTACTGCCTAATCCAAAGCCCACCAATTCTGCCTGAGGAAGGATTTTTCCTTGACTTCAGTGGCGGTAGACTATAATTTAAGAAAAAACTATAACCATTGTTATTTTTGTCATACTAAGATACACCTTGGATTTTTAATTCTAAACACTTCTGCTATTTAATACATATATTTTCATTAACACTGAACTTCTAACAAGGTTTCATGGTTTTAATATACTAAGCTGCTTTTATTTCAGACTTTCTTATAGTATAATGGTGTGTTAATGAAACAAAAAGCTTCCTTTTTTTTTATTTAAATAGTCAAGCTTTGCCTCCTGTATTATATGGCTATTCCACTCTTTCTTTGCTGAAGTACTTGTCTCGTGAAAATTTGAGCAGTCAATAACTCAGTGACTTTACTGCATCTACATGCAAGGACTGCAGCAGATACCCGGAAGGGAAAGGAAGGAATTGTTATCATCCCCTTGCCTACTCCTAGGTTAGCATGTGAAATTTCCACTCCATACAGGTTGAGGTTGTTAACCAGGCTTTGTAATTCATATGGGTACATTCAGAGGGCACAATTAGGTCAAGAACAATCGTTTCCTTTAGAGTCATGAATAATGTTGCTTTTGTTTATATAATTCTAACAGGTGACAATGTAAATTGATTTTTAAACTTTTGTCCTACTTGCTGCTTACACTGTTTTTTAAACTGTAGTAACATTTGTCTTCTTTCACTCTCAGATGATTTAAAACAACAGAATTCATATTTGAATCGAAATGTATTTTTCTTTTGCAGGTTGCTAGATTAGCAGAATGTGAAAGAATGACTGTGGCAATTGAACTTAGCAATTGGTTGAATGATGCAAATTACACCCTGCAGTCTGTTGTACAATGTTATGGTCTCCTTGCTCCAATTATTTATCACAAGATTTCTTCAGTGCCAGTAGTTCAGGTAAGAGCATTTTAAGACAAAGCAGCTGGCATCCTACAGTTATAGTGATTCAAATTAAACTTATAATGGAGTGTGCAGTGGGAGAGCTAAATACCTAGGCTTTGAGTTCTTAGGAGCTGCTGAAAGAAAAGTATTTTATGGTTTTATGTGTTCCCAATGCGTATAAGTTCAGCGTAAGCTGCACAGATTCTGCTCTCAGATATGCTAAATTAACAGCAGGATATTGATTGTCTCTTTAGGATGATTTGTTGGTATTTTTAAACTATAGGAGAATCTGTGATGTAACTTTTACTTCAATGCTTTTTGCAGATGGCAGTTTTGAGGAAAGAAAAGCAGCATTCGCCTATGGCCTATTTTGGAATGTTTGCTTCATATACAGTTTTCTTTTCTTCTTATAAAAAGAAGGCTATTCAATGTTTTGATAATGCAGTCTTTAGTTTTCAGGCATGTGCTCCTTTCCAGAAGCAAGCACCTTCTCTTTGAGAAGGGTACCTGAATCCTTTCCTGCCATTTCTGAAGCAGTAGACATGTTTTTTAAATTCATCAAGGATACAGTAGAAACATGGAACTTTTTTCCAGTAATTAGGTTGTTTTGTCAGGAGAGAGAAGTAAGAGCACGTTCACTCTGTGAGGAAGGATGAGGTGACTGCAGTGCAGGCAAGGCACAGGCTAGCAGCATCTGAACATGGCAAACAGAGCAGGGTGTTGGTAAGAGGATCCACTGAGAGTCCAGAGAAGGGGAAGATAATGGGCTGGCCCAGGGTCTGTTCAGAAGAAAAAGTCAGGAGCTGCAGGAGTTGGAGCCACAAACTGGAGACAAGGCTACAACACAGGTCTGAGGTCCATCCAGGAGACAGAACTGAAGTCCAGTACACCAATACCATAGCTCAAGCAGGCACTGAAGGCTTACTTGAAACTCCTGGGCCCCTGTGAGAGACAGCCCCAAGTAATGCTGCTCATGGAATGACTATTGGGGCACTCAGGGCCCTGAGAAGTTTTTAAGAGTGTTTAGGAAAAAAAATAAATCTATTTACATACAAGGATAGCCTCTTGCTTAAGAAGTCATTGGCTGTGATGACTTACTAAAGGCACAGCTAGCCACTGGAAATGGCTCCTGTTTCAGATTTCCTAATTTAAGGGAAAAATAATTTAGTCACATGTTCTTTTCATGTCTGATAGACAAAAAGGAGGGAAAGAAGTATTTCATTTTTAGAGCATATTAGAAACAGTTTTCTTTTATTTAAAATTCTGACCAGCTCGATACATTTTTAAGCAGATCTCTATTAGTAATATGTCATCTCACTGAATTAAGCATTCTTTGATTTCATGTTAATTAAATCAGCAAAAATATCCATCATGTATCTGTAATTTAATATCTGTGATGTTATGTGAGGGTGTCGTTTATTCCAAAGGGCTGTGGTTGAAATCTTGACAGCGTTAAATTCAATGGAAACTTTATCACTGGCTTTCGTAGAGCTAGGATTTCATCCTGTCTGTTAGTTTTCAAAGTATTTTTAAAGTTCAACATCAAATACAATAGGCTGGACAGAAGTAGAAGCTCGTAAGTGTGTGGCATACTCCAAAGTTTGTTTTAACCCTTGTATTTACAGATCCTCATTAAGTGCTTGGCTGTCCTTCAAGAAATTCCAAGTGCTACTTTGCAGAAGAGGCAGACAGGATGTTACGAGAGTATTCAACATATGATAGCTTGTACTTCATTTTATACAGCAAAGGTATGGTATGTATTATTGTGCTTACAGCTTAGTTTAAGATGCAGTTCTTGTCATTTAGAGAAAAAAAAGATTTAGTAAGCTGGCCTTCAGAGTGATATCTCAGAGAACTGCCACTCTTAAATAGTAAAGATAAAGAAATATTTATTAGTATCTTTATATCAGTGCATTTCATATAATAATGACATTTTTGACTTTTTAACAGAATTGAGAATTTTTATTTGTTCAGTAAATAGACTATTAGCAACTATTGTCCATGACATGAAATCTGTGTTTTATATCATTGTGTGTATTTTTACATTTAAGGTAGTAGTATTTTCAATAAGGCCTTTATGTAATACATAAATTTAAAAGTTTATTTACTGCAAATAGGCCATATTTGTAGTTTTAATCAGAGTAGCATATCTGTCTTATTTGCTAATTAGATACAAGAGACTTTGTACTATTTAGTCCCGCATGCTGGCAGGAACATAAACACCTTGACTTTTAACCATAATACATCTCTGTAGATCACATTTGTGATTCAGATACTCAATCTATTTAGTGAGATAAGGAGAAACGTGGTACCAGTAGGATTTTTTTCTTCAGGTATAGAGACATGCTAGAGTTAAAGTACCCACCATGATAAATATATGATGCTGAAACAGTCAGCTTTCCTCTAGCTTTGAATACACCTCAGCTAAGAGCTAATACTGAAGCTGAGCTGTGGCTGATGCTTTGAGGGATTCCCCTGTGTTGGTTATCCTTCACCCTGGTCTTTATAGGAGCTGGATCTCTGTGCTCACCTTACAAGACCAGGTCAGTGTCAAATATCCTTAAAAGTACACTACAAGAAGACCCAGTTTTCATTCTTTCTATAAAAATGAGTATTTTAAGCCTTAGTGTTGTCATTTCCGTTGTATTAACCAATTACTTTATGACTGTGAGGGCAGTGGTAGGGCATGGCGAGGGCTGGGAAGCCAGGAGGCGAGGGCAGTGCTGTGGCTGACAGGGCAGCACCTGGCAGTCAGGTTCAACCAGGAGTCCAGATCATCGGGTGAGTTCGTGGATATGAGGCAGGTCTGAGATGAAGCTGGGAAGCCAATCTGCAGGTCAGGATCAGGTCTGGTGAGGGTAGCTAGGGTCAGACATAGCCCAGCAGGCTGGTCATCGTGATGGGAGCAGTCTGAGGTCAAGCTGAGGACTCAGTCCATGGGTCAGGTGTCCAGGCCAATGAATCCATTGCCAGGCCCAGGCATGGCTGGAGACCATGCCACACAGCAGCTGGCAGGGACTGTAGGCTTAGGCCTGAGCTGAAAGGGAGCTCCTGGCCCCATGGGGGAGGGCCCAGGTGGAGGATATCAAGGCCAATAAAGCCTATTAGGAACCTTGAAACCTTGATATAGTGTTCGTTTATTCTTGGATTCCCCAGCTAAATGACTGCCTGCTTGTACTGCTGTTTGGCTTTTTTCCTTAGAGATAACATTTCAACAGAATAGCATACAGAATAGCAAAATTGCAAATGCTTCTCATTAGTCCGTGGTGTATGGTTTTCTGTTGAGTTACAGTCAGGCCATGCACTGTATTTATCCTAAAGTAATCTATACACTTATTTTGTATCCCAAAGACAAACATCCTAATGTGAAGTTACTTTGCACATAGTAGAAGCTCTTTGGCCTTTAGAGCTCTATCTAAAGAAGATAAAGCCATCTAAAAACATTCTCTACACTGTTCATTTATAAATTTCATAATTTAAAAAATAAATTTCAACACTCCTTTCACTAATACAGCTGGGATTTTCAAATGTACACTTGATACCAGAGAGGTAAATGAGGATCATTTAGTTACCCTTTATGTTCTTTGATAGCAGTACTGCCTGAGAACAGGGAGAATGTCAATCACAGCAATAGATACTTCTGGTTAAATCTTTCTATTCTCTGAGGGATAGGTTAAGCAGAAGGAGAACATATGGATAACATATCTGCAATTCCAATTATTTTACAGGTCTATAGTCCTGGTGTTGTTTTTTTTTTTTAATGAAAGGAAAATTAAGTATTGAGTAATTAATTATTATTTGTAATCATGCGTTTTGACAATGACAATTATAAGTACCCAATAATGAAACATTGCATGTTATGCAAAACAAAAATATATAACAGATGATTCTTTAATAGGTACTACGTTCATGGAAAGAATATGAACTAGCAGTAATTATTGTTAACTATGGGAAAAAATTGTTGGATTCCTCACAAACAAGATCGACCTGCCTGTCAGGAGCTGTGAAAACCGAAGAAACACACACTAACAAAGAAGTTAAAGTAATTGCTCTGGTTTTTACTTTTTCTTTTCTCTAAATACTGTATTCTATTATTTTGAAGACTACATTTATTAACTTTTTATTTTAGAAGTGATTGTATGGAATAAATCTTGTGGAATAAGAGTTCCCCAAGTGCAGCTGAGAGACTTCTATTTGATTGTGGCCATCTTCGTTAAGACCAGTTGCAGAATGCAGTGGGTACAGGGTCTCATCTTGTTGAACTGGAGAGGGGTTAGCAATGTTACAATTCAGAGCCATGAGGATCCTGCAGATATTTATACAAACGTCCCTAAGTGATCTTCACATACAGTTTCCAGGAATGCTTTATTAGACAGAAAAAATAATTAAAGAATTGTATAAGTAAAGAAGAGCAAAAATATCCCAAATAATGTAGAAACAGCCTCTAATTTTGGTAGCAGCTGCTCGAAACTCAGTCATGATAAGAGAGTAACTTAGGAATTGTGTAGACTAAAAAATATTTCTCAACAGATGAAGAACTTTCAATCACAAAGACCTTAATACTTAAATTACAAAGAGATGCATCAGGTTGTGAGGATTTCCTGCAACTTAGAATCAGAGTAAAGTGTTGAATCTCCATACTTTTCTGTCTGTATTTTCTTTAGATAATTTTAGAAGAGATTTTACTGGAGAGGAGGTATGAAAAAGAGGTAAGAAAGGAAGCAGTGTGAACATGAAACTGAGATATATTAAAGACAGGGGCGAAAACTTAATCAGCTTAGGGAAGGATGTCTTTGAGAAAACTTGTAGGACACTTACAGGATCCAGGAAAAATTTTCTCCATTGTTTATTGCTGAATTTGTGTTAGCTGCTCCCAGGTTCATACCTAAAAAGAGAAAGGAATCTAAGATGATAGGAACAAGAGAGTATCTCAAGCCCAGTAGGACCGACTGAAAATTACATTTTCACCAAAGTGAAAAAAAACTTTTCCACAGGAAGATTTTGATTTCTGTAGGTAGAAAATAAGCTACAGAAGATTATTTTTTCTGGAAAACAACACATTTTGTCAAACAATCTGTTCAGATATGTTGTTGTTGTAGCATATGGGACTTTCCTAAAATGTATTTGGTGGCAGAGCAAATCCACTCATTTCCTTGGAGATCAATCAAGAATGAATCATGGCCAGGTTTTTGAAGCCATACTAAAAAATTCATGAACATCAATTTTTATTTCACTTGAAAAAAAAAATAAGACAATATTGATGAAATTATCAGATACAAAATTAGAAGAGTTGGGATCTAACCTAAACTCCACTGTTGACCTGCTGGTTTTAGTTAGGTAAAAGCTAAGTTTTCATAACTAAGTATTGGATATTTCAGATCACTTCTGCAAAGATATCCCATTTAACTGCAATGGAAAAAGCAACTGAAAATCTAAGTGCTCTTGAATCAAATCTCCTCAGACTGACAAAACCAGGTGGGTTTCCTGTTAAAACACTTCTTAACTTTTTCTATGGAATTTTCTATGCTTGATTTGTAAAAATTATTTACCTAAGAAGTACTTTTATTTCGTGTATCTTCCATGATAAATCAACTAAAATCATAATTTCAGTGGTCTTTATTTATACCTGGTAGTGATGTGTATAATGACTTTTATTCATCTATTTCATCATTTCCACTGAAACATTCATTCCTTCTTAGAAAGGAATGGTCATTTTTGTTCTATTCTGCAAATATATATGTCCCAATCTGCGTAAATTCGGTTCCATGTTATCAGAAAACACAGTGGTAAAAACCTTTGTCTATTTATAGCATGTCTTACTATCCTAACAGTGCTAGTAGTAATGACCACTGCAGGAAATTTTAGTGGAGAAAAGGCTTGCTGAAGAAAATTAACAGAAATTGTCCTTTTTGTGTAAGAATTACATGTACAGTAGCATTTAACCACCTTGTAACTCAGGAATGAATATATCAACTTTAAAATAACTTAGAGACTCGATGAAGCACAAGAATTTTCAGGTTAATAGTTCTACTGAAGTTAGATGAATTAATAAGTAGGACTTCTAAAAGAAATTTGATTAGAACTTAAACCACAGATCCACTACTGATTTTTTTCCCCATTATGTACATGGTATTTGTACTCCTCGGAGCCTGGATAGAATCATAAAACAATTTAGGTTGGAAGGCATTTCTGGAAGGCATTTGTTCCAACCCCCCTGCTCAAAACAGGCACAATTAGTTCAGATCTACCTGGAATTTTCTGATTTTCAGCTTGTGTCTGTTGCCTCTTGTGCTATCAGTGAGGACAGTCTTGTCTCCACATTCTGTATTCCTCCTATTAGGTAGGTGCACACTACTCTTAGCCTTTTTTTAAGAGTGAATAAACCCAGTTCTTTCATCCTTTTCTTGGTTTATCGTGCACTTTAGCTCCTTATCATCTTGGTGGCTGTTCACTGGACTTACTCCAGTATGTCAGTGTCTTCTACTAGTGTCTGAAAACAAACACAGTAATCTAGATGTGATCTCACAAGTGCCGAATAGAGGGGAATAGTCACTTCCTTTGCCCTGCTGGCTATGCTGTATCTAATACAGCTCAGTATGCAACTGGTCTTTGCTGCAAGGGCATGCTGCTAACTCATGTTCTAGTTATTGTCCATTATTTCTGTATATCGCACTTGCCTTAGAAGAGAAAGCATTTCTGCAATAAATAGGGTAAAAAGAGTGACGCAAAAATTCCATTGATCTGTGCACTGGTCCTTTGTTTTTTGCTGCTGAATTTGATGCCTGTATTCCTGCAAAACAAGTTACAGAATGAATGAATTCTGTTAATTGAAAATTACATTGATTACTTAATAAAATGATGTTCCATTCTTAACAGAAAGGTAAATTAATGGGTTGATCAGTTAGAGAAGAACACCCTTTCAGTAACTGGCAAATACTTGATGGCTGAAGTCTGCTCTGTTGCTGAAATAGCATGTTTGTCAATAAGTTTCAGGACACAAATCGAAGACGAGTCTTTTGCTGAGGCCATGCAAAACAAACAACAAAGCCTACAGCCACCCTTACAAATGTGTATAATGTGCACACCTATAGGGCATGCTGTTAAAAATGTTTTGGAAAAAACTTTGTCGTAGGAAATCCTTTAAAGGGGATCAACACTTAGTATTCCACTGATGATGGTCTATAAGAAAAATGAAAAAGAGATGAATCTGCCTCTTTCATAAGAATCTGGGAAAAAATATTTCATAACCAATGCGATTTAAATTCTGAAATTTAAAAGGTTTTCTCATTTAAAAATTTTTGGGAGGTATCATTCTTTGTGAAAATGCTCATTTGAAGCAATACATTTTTGAACTTGTCAAATAGGAGAGGATACTAACAAAGGGTGTGACTTGTCCTGAAAAGAAAATAAAAAAAAGTCTGCTTGTCCTGCTGGCTGTCCTGTTTAATTGGAAATTACTTGCATTCAACAGACTTTAACTGGCTGCTGCCACTGGAGGGTGTAGCTATCGATCCACTATCACAACTGGTTGTTCCAGAGTGCATTTTTAACCTTGCTTTTTCAACATACTATCTGCATTGATCTTTTTCAACCACAGAACTTGCTTAAGCAGTCATGTTTCTTTATTAAGGCAAAATAGCAACTAGCACATGAAACATTGTTCTGGTGCTCATCAGCTGGTAACACAGTTGTGTTTAACTCTCGGAAGCTTGAATCCAAGTTATTGTTCTCCTACACATTTTATATACTATTTATATCTATATATTGTAGATATGATTTTCACTTACATTATTTATGGAATAGAAATACATTTGTATACATATATTTATATAAAAACTTAGACAAAGAAAAAAAAATCCTTTACCTACTTATGCTATCCATATGCTGAGCATGTATGTAAGCTCTAGTCCCTAGTAGCATCATGTGTTCAGTTCAGTTCATGCTATATAGCTTTAAATAACATTTTTAGACACGTTCTTACTGCACATCCTCCTCCACAGATGATTTGTGTGGACCTTTGTTAGACCTCTGATGAACTCCAGACATCCTGCTCATTAGTCTAGTAGCTGGGATTTCATCAGTCACATCCATAAGCTCTTCATTATTTAAGTGGCACAGCTACTTATGCTAGAAGAAAGGAGCAAGCTTTTGAATCTCTCTCTGTATGACAGAGATTTAAAAGCAAACTCTGCTAAAGAAGGATTTTTCTAGTCTTCAGTTACAATTTCAGGTAGAGTTTCTATTGTGCACTATCACTGCTTGTTGTAATGGATTTGATTTGGTTATTGATGTAGCTCATGGATCAGAGCTTACAGGACAGGAAGATCCTTTGTTCCTCTACCCTGTAATTTCATGTTGGACATCAGACAGTGCTTATCGAGAAGGTAGGATAATTGGTGTTTATTTCAATTGTAAAGGCTTCCTTACTTTAGAAATTTGCCGGTAGAGCTATCTACCTCTTGCTTGGAATAAGCTCTTGGAAATTTTCTCTTAATTTTGTTCTCAAATATACAAAATCAAGTAAAACAGAGCTTAAAAGAAGTTCTTAACATAGTCATATTTAGAAGTGTATGAAATACTTGCAACAAATTAGTTTAGATGTTGATGTTAAGTATATAAAATACTAATATTTTAAAAAATTTGAATAATGTTTATTTTCCAATAACCTTAAAAATGAGCTCATTTTTTTTTAAGTTCTGTGAAGCTTTCAAGGATTCTGTTTGTGTGGAATGCTCTTTTTAAATTGAGATACCCCATTTCCACATAAAATCATGTTACTGAAAGAGGAATTTGCAAAAGTCTGAGTACACTTGTGGTTTTGAAATAGCGTCTAAGATTCTGCTATGCGGCCTTATTTTTTGTAAGATTGGTGTTCAAAATAACAACAGAGCCTAGCCTGTAAAATTAGTACAGCTTTCAGATAGGATAATTAATTATTTATTTCTTGATGGTAAAAAAATTATGAAGACAGCCAAACAGTAAAAGCAGTTTGCAAACAATTAAAAAGCTGCTTAAAATCTAGACAACACAGTGCCACTGCTGCAATGAGAACCGCGTGGTGCTTGTACTCTAATGTGACTGTCACTGAGAAGAGCAACTTAAGTGGATAGGATGAAGTTACTTTGTTTATACTTGCTTTATTGTTTTTTTCAGGATTTTCAGGCACATGTACAATGAGACATGTTGAATATTGTTATAAAATATTTTTGCACTATGTACTGCATGACACAAAAATAGTTCCAAACCTGTTTTCTCAGTACCTAGAATGTTTGTCATTCTAGGTATGTAAATAGAGTGAACTTGTGATTCTGGATGTCCCATCACAAGAGGAAGTATTTAGCAGCTGCTATTGTGTATCATGACCGATCTGATTTCAGTATCAGTATGCCCTTACTTCATCAGCATGTAACATGACATAAATATCTGCTTTGAGACATACATAGCTGTAATTATAGCTGAATTCAGAAACCTGCTACAGCATAAATACAAAACCCATGATAATTATTTGTTACTTTGTTGCAGTGATGAAATTCAGAAAGGAAACACGTTTTCTTGAGTTCTTTGTTCAAGTTTTGCACAAAATCCTGAATGAAGAGAAATTTCAAAGTGTTCTGGAATGGACAGGCGAAGTGCAAGTTTACTTGAAAAGGTAGATCTTGATAATTGTAGTAGGGAAAAACTACTACTTAGGTTCACCAGTGTCACAGTTACAGCAGAAATTGTAAATTGTACCTGGCAGAAGACCCGTCTGGAGCCAATTCCATGGCTCCTAGTCTGCAGAAGTTCCATGAACACGGAGCATTATATAGGTACAGAAGATACTGTATTGTGACCTCGTTACACATGGAGACTTCTCTCTTGGCTCTGTCTGTTCAAAACTCCTGTCTACCATCAGCAATTTCTAAGATTTTCCTTTTCACAGACACCACTTGGTAATATGGCCATTTGCCATATTATTATGAGGCAGTGGGATAACTTAGAAAAGTATGTTGGGTTAAATCAAAAGCAAACTGATTCGGGCCTACTGTAGTGTCTAAAAAATTTCTATACTGAAAAGATAAATGGAACAAATTGGTAACACTTACCTAAAAAGATCCCAAAGAAATGTAACTGTAACTTTGTTAAAAGCACACACCAGTATTTCTAAAATTTGAAAGACCAATAATCAATGAAAAGGAGATATAATATAGGGAACAGGAATTGCTGTTACAAAAGACCAAAAAAATTGGACATGAAGAAGTTCTTTGCAGAATTCTGCACTAGAATTTGGGGAATGAAGCAAACTGGTTTGTTTTACTAGGAGTTAGGAAGGTGAGATAGTTAGTTGTTCCCTATAAATTCAGATTTCTATAATAAACCGTGAAAGTGAGCACTTCATGTTTTCTGAAGGGAAAGAAGGAAAGAAAACCTGCTGAATTTAAAACTCCCAGTGAAAAAGGAATTGCATGTGCTCTACCTGTTCCCAAAGATAACCCTTTAACTATGGAAGGAGTTGAACATTATGGTCATGATGATGATGATTTTAACATTATTTGTTTGTCAGAAGGAACGACCACCTTCTCTGTATCAATGGTATTTCAACACAAGAAACAAGTTCTCCAACCCCGTCAGAAGGAGCGGATAGATACACTACAGGAGCTATGGAGTTTCAGAAAGTGAGTTTTATTTTTAAGGAGTCATGTATGTCTACTGAGCAATACCATAAGCACAAAAATAAATTTTTAAAAGCTGTCTTATAAAAACCTCAGCTAGAGACACGTATAATTACTAAAATTTGGGACACAAACTCTAGTTGTTAACTCATCTCTGCCCTCCTAAAACCAGGAAGAAAAGTTGGCATGGGATTTATCTGAAAGACCAACAATTGTGAGGAATTTGAGATGAGTTAGAGTAATGCATTCCAAAATCAATGAAGCTTTCAACACCTCACATCATCTCCCTTTAAAAACCCCAGTACGTTACTAGGAAATGCCTTTGGTACCGTCACATTAAGAAAAGATCAGCTCAGGCCTTTTCGTACAATGTGTTGCACTTACTGTTTCATGAGTAGATGTTCATGATGAGCTCCTTGTGCAGATATTCTAATTGCATAATAAAGGCTTTTTGTTCAGAATTCTTGCAAAATACATTTTTGCCTTTATTGGGAGGTAAGAGTAATCTTAATGGATTTGTGTTCTTTTGGAGGAAGAGTTTTCTCCCTCACAACCCTCTAGTAATGCTGTAATACTGCTAGCATCTGAGACAGATTAGGGAAAGGATTTCCTGTCTCAGTTTTTACATTGCGAAGTTTTACTATTTATAATAATAAGAAAAGAACTATCATTATTTTTGAGATGAAAAACACTGGTATATGAAAGAAAATATTTGGGGACCCGGTGGCTTCTTAGTCTCAGGCACATGACATATACCTTCCAGAAAAATTGTAAAGCTTTCTGGAATATTAAATATTTCTTTTGCTGTCTTATTTTGACAAACAGTTCCAGACTTTATTTTCTGTTCTGTTCTGTTTGTGCATAAGCCAAACTGCCGTACACCTCAAGTAGCTGATAATGTACGTATAAATAAGTATTTCAATTATATTTAAGATTTTAACGGAAGATTTTTTTTAAAGAGTATGGAGACCTCATCTTTAAAGAAACCGAATGCATCAACTCTGAAGAAACCAAGAAAAGAAGCCTTGAGTCCTATTCGAAAAAGACAGACTCTTAGACAGTATTTAGTGAAACATTCAAACATAGTGAAATCTCCAGAAGCACAAAGGTAAATGAAGATAAGTTGCCAGGTTCATATTCAGAACCAAAATATTTTTATTGAAATTTAGTTTACAATTAAGTGTGTATTTTAAAACATTTTTCTATCAAAGGGATGAATTTGTGCATAGTCCACTCACTTTTCTGTTTTAGTTTGATAAAAAATCAGCTTCCACTCAAGAGAACAAAATCTTATTTAATTTCTATTTCAGAGAATAACTGTTGCAGATTTTTAAGTCTTTGTATTAACAATGAAATACTGTATTTCAGTTGTGTGAGCCTGAGCATATTGATTCATCATGGTGGAAAAGCTATGTTAATCTATGTACTATAATGCTTTTCAAACTGTGTTGGGGACCTTACCTTTTAGAAATCTAATAAAGAATGTTTCTTTATTCCTGATGTTCAGGTGGTTTTAGAGTAATTTTTGTCATCCTTTTTGCTAGTCTTTTTGAAATATCTGTTCTGTAGCTTTCAGAAAACTATTTCTTGGTCGAAACAAATGATAATTCATTCAACTTTTCTTCTGGCAGATAATTGTATGTATTTGGTTAACTTAATAATAATGGTACCCTCTGACATAAAAGAATTTGTATTTGTCATTCCCTGGTGCTTTAGTCACTTATGCTTCCAGCAATTAGCAAGGAGAAAACTAGAAATATCTGAATATAAGCAATTAAATAACTGATTCTGGGTGTTTTAAATAAAAAGATTTTCCATACACTATCTTCTAAATATTATCTAAATCATCCATTTTTTCTCTTCAACAGAAAAAAAACACTTACTGTACAGGATTTTCATGGTTTTTGGTGGAAGAGGGGATGTTTAACTTCTGCTGCGCTTTTTGCTTTTTCAAATACTCTTTCGTATCTTACATAATAATATTGCTGTATAATATAATCAACATTGTATATGGTACACTGTTCTGCCCACATTTTAAAGGTGGAAAACAGGCAGAAAAATAATTTAAGTTGATAAAAGGATCAATTTACGGTTTATAAAAAAGGAAAAATGAGATTTGATTTGACTACAGCATTGTATGTGAGCCAGGTAATATAGAAAGAATTGTCTGACCTGGCAGAGAAACATAAATAAAAATCTATGGCTGGAAATTAAAGCCAGGCATCCAAATTTGAAATAAAATTTTCTCTTCACATTGAGGATGATTAGCTACCAAAACACAGCAATAAAAAGAATGATCTAAATTTATAGTATAATAGTAAACCCTCCATCTCCTGAACAGACTCTGTGAAACAGATTGTATTTGCTATAATGATCTGGTTGGATGTTTCAGGTACAAATAACTTGTGCACAAACAACACAGTGCTAAACTTTTTGTGAGTACTAAAGCAAACATCTTATAGAAGTTGGTAAAATGTAATATAGGATTTAGCATGTGTTAAGTGCACTTAAAGAAGAAAAGCATAATTGCTTTTCTTGACTGCAGCAAAAAACCTTTTGCTAGAAATATGTCATATGCTTCTGAGTTAATACAAGGCTGTATATGCAATGGGATACTTCTGTGTATCTTTACCACGATTTTCTTTTCTAGAGCTTCAGTAAAACACAGTTTCATGTTTTGCTACTTCATATATTTTGGTTTAGGAAATGCAAGGAAGAGTTGCGAAAAGTAGCTCGTCACACTTTAGTGGTACTGCTGAAACCAGTTGTGAGTACTTACTTAAACCGAAAGAAGTTTCATCAAATGTGTCTTGAAGAGATGCCCTGGAGGTCTCAGATGAATATCTATCTGGCAGTTGCACACTACAACTTATTTAAAAAGAAACTGGAAGAGCAATATAACATTGGAATTTGTGGTTCACAGCATCTGGACAGGTGATTGCTATTAATACAGATTATTGTGTTATTGCCATTAGTGCAAACAAATCTGAATTTCAGTATCATCAGTCAGTTTGTCATGTGAATATTTCAGCTTCCAAATGCAAACTGATTTACTATGTAACAAGTTTTGCTTTCCATCATATAGCTGGTGACACGCACACTGTTGATTGCTCACCTGACTGCTCAGATGAAATTTTTGAAATATAAGATATTGTGCTATTTTTTTGTTCCTTATAGCTTTTGTCTATCATTCCTTATTTCTGATTCCTAAACCTGCTGGAAAGTAATCAACACTCACTTTTGAGAAACTGAATTTTGTGTGTGTATATCAAAATTATTTTTAACATTATATCTGAGGGGTTTTTTGCGCTTTCTTCTTTTTTCTCTCATTCTGCAGTTACAATATTTTGGATCCCGAAATATTCTCGTTAAGTAATTCTGGCACTGTACTGGTGAGAGAAGCTGTAGAGAATAACACGAGAACACCAACTCCTCCTCTCCATAAAAAGTCAGGAATAACTGAAAAACAAACTTGTAAGAACTTTTAATGGGTGCACAACTGGAATCAGTTTCATCTTAACTTTTTCTTTCTCTTAATTGCTATCTTGACCTCCGTCATCAGTTCTCCATATCACCTTTGGAAAAACACTATGCCAATTTAAAGAGAAGATGTAGAAGATGTTTCTGGATTTCAAACATGTCCTCTTTTTATCTTTTGGCATACCTATTATAAAAGAAATCATAGTCAATAATGGGACATTTATAATAACTCTGATCATTTTTTATTGTATTGATAAATACATTACTTTTAATCAAGTGGTTATTCCTTATCTTATCTTATACTTTAATAACAAGTTTATACATTCTGATAAATTAGTGATACTAGATTTTGGTTTGCAGAAGCCGTGCTACTTAGACCTATTAAGCTGATAATACTCGAGATTATTATAAATGCAATGATTTTTATCAGTTTCTGTGGTTGTTAATCGGTCTGTAGTTTCCTTTAGATTTCCCAACAGGACAATAATTTCCTGAGTCATTCTGTAAGTCTTTCTTAAAATTATAGACTGAAGTTTATTATTATCTTTCAAATTTTAAGAGGAATAATACAATTTTCCTTCTCTACTGCTTTCTCTCCAGTGTTTTCCCGTGGCAGAGGCTACTTCAGGAGCAATTTTTTATCTTCTACCACTTTTACTTCAATTCTCTGTCTTTCACGTTTGACTGTTCTGTTATCCAAGCTATTTTCAATAACATCCTTTGAGGTTTCAGCAGTTGGAGCTGAAAGGCTCCTGTTTGTAGGTAATCTTGAAATATAGGACTTTTATTACTTCAGACACTGGTGATAACATACAAGTCAATGCCAAGTAGTCTGCCTAGCCACCATTAAGTTCAAGAAGAATTCACAAGCCTTGTCTTTTCAATAGTGCTTCAAGGAACACATTCTTGCCATGCTGTAGAAAGAAAAATTCTCCTATGATTCCATGTAGGACTTCCTTAGGTAGGAATCAAACCTCCTCTTTGCCTTTTCCAAGGAGGTGTGACAAAAACTAGTAGTTGAATTCACTGGTTCTCTTTACAACAGCTTACTTTTAGTTATACTTTGTTGTCTTGACGCTTAGAAGTTACAGGACCAAGTCACTGAAAGTTGCTGAAAACTATTGAAAATCCTGTTTACTGCCTCCTAGCCTTTGGAGCAATTCTGAATGAAAGAATTTCATGAAGCGTGTGGTTTGACATAGAGTTCAAATACTGCTTAGCTTCAAATTAGCTTCTGCCTGAAACCTGTAGCTCAGATATTACTGTATCCCCCTACCATGAACCTTTGTGTTTCCCCTTGGAGGATATTTGGTATTGAATAAAATAATGAGGCAATTCTACACACATCACAGAATTTGTCAGAAATTTTCCTTTCTTCCTAATGTCTCCTTTTAAGCGACCTTGGTTTCAGAAAATTTCTTGGGAGCTTGCCACACAGTGATTTCTTCCTTAAAGGGCTATTGTATGAAAGTTGTGTTTTGGCTTTGAGGCTGAAAACTGTTTTGTACACATTATTATTTTGCTCAATTTTTTTTATCCCTGCTTCTCCCAACACTTACGTAAAAGCATCTTATATTTTAAATATCATAACCTTATAAATATGATAACCTTAACACTGGCATTTCCTAACATTTAAGTATTTAGCTACCATGGGAAAGTCCTAGCTGGCTGATAATATTATCTTTTTTATTTTTTTGAGAACTTTAACTCTTTTTTAACCAGTGAACTTTTTGTCTTCAGGTACAGATAAATCTTCCGAGCACAGCATTAAACTGAGTGGAATAGATACTCCTCAAACCCAAACAAAAAATGATACAGAAATATCCATCTCTCATTCCCCCAAAGAATACAACGAGTTTCTGTCAAATACGATTTTATCGGAGCATTGTACAAAAATCTTTTTGCATTTGAGAAGAGCAGTGGTAAGATACGCTTTCTTATTAAATGTTTTATTTATTACTAAGCATTGCATTACTATGCTTCCTACATTAAAAAACCCCACACTTCAGAAACTTTAAAAAAACTTCAGTGGGAAAAAGCAATGATTTCTCATCTTCTGCAAAATGTCCAAGTATGGTGTATGAAATGTTAGACATATCACCTATCATAATGTATATTTTCATGAAACATATAATAATTTATATAAATGTTTTGGTTTTCATTCAGTCTTTGTAACTTTCCTTCTCATGTTTGTTAAATCTTTCCAAAAATACTTGCAGACTTACTTACCTTTCCCTCTACAGGTCTTAGTGAATGCCTCAGTAGTATAAACAGCAGGACCAGTGATTGAAAGCAAATACATTTTTGCAACATATTCTTCCCATAAACCCTTCTAAAACCAAGTGAAAACACGTGTATAGGTGGTGTGAATTAACTTTTATTTCTTATTCTCACACCCAAAAGAACAATTAAATTAAATTATAACTAAGTGCTGCTATGAAAATTTCCAAATTAAGATACTATAATGCTTTATGTAAATTGAAAAACTGAATGATCTGTTATTAAGGATGATCCATAGACTGTAATTTTGAAAGATTGCTTATACCTAAGGTTTGTAATAAAAGAATGAAGCTTTTAATTTCTGATTTCCAAAATATGATTGCATTTTGAATTATATGCATAGGTTCTCGCTCATCGTGGTGGCCACTGGACGTTGCTTCAAAATGCTTGTCGAGAGCTTTGGAACTATACTCAAGAATTACAATTGATTGCTAACCATTCACATTTCCATATGGATACATTTCCCATTACCAGGAATTTTCTTACGAGCACCATTTGGTTCACATTTTATTTGGCATCAGACATGAGCATTGACATGATAACTGAACTACAAGCAAGCAAATCTCTTAAGGTAAAAATTATTTTTATTAAGACAATATACTCTTTATTATCACATCTTCAATAGAGATAGTTTTGTTTATCTGGCATTATATTCTGATATGTCCAAGTTATTCTCTTTATCAAGTTTTTAGAGGATTACAGTATTTTCTAATCTTTATAATTTGATTTGTTCTAAACTAAGTTTGAAAATAACAGGTAGAATAATGTTTCTTCACTGTAGATCATGGATCCTGAAGGAGACTTCTGCATTCCCAGTTGCTTAGGAGGTATTATGGATGAGAACGGTGGTTCTAATCTCCATCCACAGTCTCCCCTGGATGATGTGAATGTGGTTGACTTGAAATCGATATGTAATCTGATTCTTAAAACAATAGAATTGTTATATCAAATGAAGAAGTGGGAAGCACTGGTACACATAGCTGTACAATTTAACATATTTACACAGTAAGTTACATGAACTCTTATAAAAACTAAAAAGCAACATTATATAGTTAAATATACCGTTGTTTCGCTTAATTACTATACTTTGCTTTTTTTCAGTGAGAGATACGCAGAACAAGTGAGTCCGCTGCTGGTGTATGCTCAGAGGCAGCTGCTGGAAAGGATACAGCAATTCAGTGTCCCAGACAGCCATAAATCTAATTTCATAAAATATCTGTCTGCTAATGCACATAAGGTGAACCACAGATTTCTTTTTTTGGGCACCGTCTCTTAATATGGGAAGAACTGAACTAAATATGGAGAAGTACATTCACTGATTAGATTAATATGGTTTTTCATAAAAGGTTTATGTGACATGACTTCAGCAGCAGCAGCAGAGGTCTGGACTCGATGACCCAGAGAACATTTCTTCCATGCATAATGTACACATTCCATATTATGAGCTTAAATCTAATTTCATGTTAGTTCTTGATGCCAGTCTTTTAACCTGAAAACAGTTACTTGGATATTGTGCAATCTTTGTGATTAATTAAAATTAAATACAGAGATTGCATTAGAACACTGCCCCTAAAGCCTGAAATTGATCAAATAAAGTTAACCCAAACACTGACAATACCAATAAAAAACTTCAAAAACTTGATCACCAACAAAAAAACCCTAAGCTGCTCAGCAAGTTCCTCTTATTAAAGGCCATGGCCCTATATATTTAGTAAACTGACACTGCCATTTGGAAATTTTTCATAGAATTAGCTAATAAAAATTAGGATTTTCCATTTTTTTAAACCTAAGGTTTATTCCTAAGAAGTTTTCCTAAATTCAGTCACATGGTTGATATTTTTAATATGTTTCTATTACTAATATATACATAGGATTTGGAGGAGAGGGGGGAGAGTGGGGTTTAGAATTCCAAATGGGTTTGTTATGAACATGAACATGGGGTTCAGGAGCCACTGCCTTGCCTGGAGACAGCACACTGCTGCCCAGGGCTTGCAGGAGCTCAGAAGGCACTCCTGGCTTGCGAATGACAGGTGTTCTGTCTTGGGGGTGTTCTGTCTTGTCCCTCTATAAGGCTGTTTCCTGCTGGCTTCTTTCAGGCCCTGCCGTTCAGAATGTTGTTCTTCGTGTGAAAAATAGGGCAGTGGCAAACCACCACATACCGCTGTAATTGTAGAATCATACAATCATGAGGTTGGAAAAGATCTCTTAAGATCTTCAAGTCCAACCGCTGACCTAATACCACCATGCCCACTAAACCATGTCCCGAAGTGCCACATCTACACGTTTTATGAACACCTCCAGGGATGTTGACTCCACCACTTCCCTGGGCAGCCTGTTCCAATGTTTGACCATCTTCTGGTAAAGACATTTTTCCTAATGTCCAATCTAAACCTCCTCTGGTGCAACTTGAGGCCGTTTCCTCTTGTCCTATCGGTAGTTACTGGGAACCCCCACCTCACTACAACCTCCTTTCAGGCAGTTGTAGAGAGCGATAAAGTCTCCCCTCAGCCGCCTCTTCTCCAGACTAAACAACCCAGTTCCCTCAGCCGCTCCTCATAAGAAGAGCAAAGAGAAAAAGTAATTGCAGTTTTGAAAGACAACTTACAGAATAAAGACTGATGTTAGTTAATAGTAATAAGGATTGTCAAAAAAGACATCATCAAGTTAGAAACTTGGAAGGTATGGCTACATCTCACAATGCAGTGCCACTCAGAGACTCTAGAACTAGCTCTGAATGGGTTCTTTTGCTTCTGAAGTGATGTAGCTACATTAGCAAAATGAAATGTCTGTGCTGGATTAGCCCTTTACAGAAGTCTAGAATTTGCTTCTCTGACAGGGTTAGACAGCTTCTGTTATTTGCTTAGAGCTATTTTGTATATCCCTATGCAGCATTACATTGTGCTTCACAGGCAGCGTGCTCTGTAGGCATGCTTACACTGACAGGTTCTTTGCAAGCATGTATTTATCCAAAGAAAGTGGAATATTTGCTGAACATCAACAAGTTGCTCATGATTATGGCAAATACCAAATAAGATACAAGTTTAATTAATTAACATCTAAATGCTTATATTTAGGTTAACATTTGTAAGTTGTATATTTAGGTGTTGTGAATATTTCACCTCTTACTGACAAGGGTACTAGCTATGGGTCATTGGTGTCTTTGTAAATTAGTCCTCTTTCATTTTGTCATATGACTGTTTAGATACTTAACTTGAAGCACCAAGCATTGATTTTTCTGAATATTATTCAATTATCATGAAACAAAACTTGCTTTTTAGATGAGCTGCAGAAACTACATAGGGCAGAAATTACAGCTGCCTGTTCCCCATTCTGCTAGTGAGCAGATTTTTCCTGGATGCTTTTTCTATCCTGAGATGAAAAATTATACAGGTCAGAGCACATTTCAGTATCATGAGTTCTCCTTTCTCCCAAACTCTTTCATTTTTTTTTGTACTGGATAGTTCTTTTTGTTTTCCTCCTTATTGTAGATCTTCCACTGCTCCTATAATCTGTTCCTTTTAATATAAACTCAGTTTTCTCTTCAGATTATTATTCTTGATATTTTGGATAGAGAATAATGTTGTCAAGACCTTTCCAAATATATCCAAACTGTCTGAAAGCAGAGAAAAGCAGTTGTTATCCAAATGCCAGATGAACTACTGTACGTTGAATGAGCTCAGTGGTCTTGATCAATTTTCCATTGGCATTGTTGGATACCCAGCAATATACCCAGAAGTTAATGTGAACCTGCACTGTTATCCATAGAACCAACAGAAAAACTGAAGTGAACTGTAAGATGACAAACACCTCTTTTCCCCACAGTTGTTCTTTTCAGTCAGGATTAAAATGTTATAGCCATTAATGGAAGTTTGTAAAGTATGGTTCCTCATATGACAGATATGTCATGGTATGTGTATGGTAGATAATATCATGCACCCAGTGGAGAGAGCATGCCAACTCACAGGTTTGGTACATAGAAGCCATGGTAATTGTAGTAAATAGGATCAGCAGTTGCAGTAAATGGTTTGTTTCCAGATTTCAGACACCAGAATTCAGAGCAGACAGCTGAGCTGAGGCATGCCCAGGGCAGATGGAATTCAGTGAATATAGATGCCACGTGACAACTAAAATGTAACACTGAAAAATATATAAACGCTCAGAAGTGTTCCTGGTGTTTAATAATTTTGCTTTAATTCATAATCCATCAGCAAACAAAGGTGACAATTACATTAATATATCTTAGTTTTGAAGTTGTGGAATTGTTCAAATACATGTTTTGCAGGGTGATTTACTAAAAATATATATTTACGTAATGCAAAATTGTTATCCATAATTATTGACTACTTTCAGGTTGCAGTCAAGCAAAAGCCCTAGTTTATGTACCTCTTGATGTGAATAATACACTGAAATGTTTTAGAGAAACTCTACAAAAATCTAAGTATCACAGCAGAGCACTGAGACACAGCAGAAAACTACTTTCATTATTTCTTTCACACACACAAGGTGAGTTATATATTGAAGTGTTTCTCACTTAATAAAGTATATATTCAGTTAAAATAGTAAACAGTGAAAGGAGTTGTTTTTTTGAAATTCAAGTTTTAGTTGTTATTGACCATTAGAGAAAACATAGAATACAAAGTTATACATGAAGGTCTGTAAGCACAAGCTCTAAGTGTGACTTTCTTATTTTTGTCTCATGATTGGATGATAAATTTTTTTGTCATGCAGCTGTGTCACTTGTCTGTCTGCAGCCAAACCTCTGTCAGAGGACTGGCTGACAGATCTTCCCAAGTTTCTTTTCTCTAATAGAGCACATATTTTCGTTTGGTTGCACTGACCAATGGGTTATGGCCAATGAGTTTCATTAGAAGGCACACACAGAATCATAGCATAGGAAACCAGATAAAAATAGGGTATACAGGAGTTGTATATTTGTTCAAGTAACGTGGTGTGGAAACATTTCTGCTGCTGGAAATAGTGTAATACTTTTCCAAACTAATGCTATAAATCACTTTTCTGGTCTAGAAAATGCTGGAAGAGCAATCAGCAGTCATATCTCTTCAAATAGAAGGCTGGAATTTAATGTGGGAGCTGAACTGATATTTCTACCAACACCACGTGACATTTCTCAAGAAAAATTTAATTTCTCCAGTATGGTTGAGAGTAAACCAATACCACAGTCACAGCTTTCTGTAATTATCTCTTCCTATGAACAAACAATTGGTAAATTTTTTCATAAATTTCTGTTTACAGCTAAGAAGTAATATCATTCTGCCTATCTGTGTTCATATATGTTTATTCCAGTGTTATTTTCCTCTGTCAGACAGCTATAACTGTCTGAAAGCTGGTTTCCAGAGGTACACAACTTTCTTTCTGTTGATTCAGATGAAAATCTGCATTAGATAGATCCTAAACAAGCCACTAGTTGTTTCATAACCTCTACAGTTATCCCATCTTATAAAAAAGCTTTCAAAAAAGTAATGCTTTTTGGTTTTATATAAAAAAGCTGGTGTTATACTCGTTAATCCCAAATTAAAAATCTTCTGTAACGTTTAGCAGATTCACTTGACTTCCATGATAGTTTTTTTTCTAGCAAACAGAACTTGTGGATTCTGTGCATTTGAATATAAGATGTAGTTGCTTGGCTTCAATCTTACATTCTAGTATGGCTTTGCTCATATGGTTACAGCTCAGCAGTACTAACTGTTTTTGCTGCATGACAAAACAAGCGAGGTATAGAAGGTCAACAGATGCCGTAAGTGGTTTTATTTGAGTTAAGGGATCCAGAAATGAGCCAGGGACAGTACTATTGTGCTGTATGCAGGCAGTGTTGTTTAGCAGATCCAATGGCCTGCATCCCACTGTATCTCTTGAAGATGACATTTGAGAGGTCTGAAAAAACCAAAAATACAAAAGCGTAGCTAAGCAGGTCCATAGTCCATAAATACATCCTGCCTTTGTTTTTAAGTTAGTAAAAATACGAAATTGTACCTTTGAAAGTAAAATATACAAGCTTAATAAAACTTTCAAAAAATATTTATGCATTGAATTACATGTGAATGCATGTCTACTTCTCATGCAAAATTTGTTCAAGCTTCAGTAACTGATTTAATGACGTGACAATATTTTTTCTAATTGATTAAAAAAATAAATAACAGGAATCCTTGAAACAAATAACCAGAGAGACCTCAAGGTTCAGGCTTTACACGAACTTGGAAATCTTCACTTTTATGCTGGAAACAAAAGGTACACAGTTATTGATTTTAAAAAAGAGCATTGTTTCTTTTTTTTTTAATTTGCATTCGTATAAATTTCAACTGCCTTGTAAGTTCTTGTGCTGTCCTCAAGTCCATATAACTTCTTTCATCTAACTCACTATTAGCTATATTTTGAGAGGCTTTTTCTAGGAATTGTTTGTTTTTCTTAGCTAGCTAATTGCAATTATGTAAACTAATTAAGCATCTCTATGTGTTTTTAAGAATTAGTATAAGTCCCAATAAGTCTGTTGACCAGGAACAGAATCTTTTTGTGTTTTAGAAACTGTATTTCAGTTTTTGACCTAATCAGAATTAGTTATACTTCAGGCAATAAATGTAAAATGAAGTGAGTCTTATCTTCCACTTTGGAAAATGTCAGCAATATGATGAGAATGTTTTTTATGTGTTACAGAGCTGCTTTTAAATATTGGTGTCAAGCCCTTGATGAAACACTCAACATTGCTGATGCTCTTAACAACTGGCAAGAGTTAGGTTTTCAAAAAAATGCTACAGACTTCTTTGCAGTTGGAAGATCGACTGATATTAGTCAGAAATTTCTTTCTCAGGCTGGAGTTTGGGGATGTTTACATGCAGCAGTCTTAGTGGCTAAGATAGCTCAGTAAGTATTTTATCTATATATGTATTTCTTTCATATTTTAAACAAATTGCTCATCCAGGACAATAGGCAACTTAAAATTCATTTAAAAGCACTAACGTGTTGCTATAAAAAAGACTCATCAAAAGCAGAGGAATTTTTCCTTTCAGGAAGAAAGTTACTCTTTTGAAGAGTATTGTTTGTTCCCTTTTCTTGAGTGCTCATCTTTGATCATAATTACAGCTGTATATTACATGAAGAGATCATTGAAATAAAACAAAATGATAAAAAGTCATAAGTGCAAGGATTTTACAGTCATATTGATTTTCAATTGAAATACCACATCTCCCAAGTCATTGCACATGTTAAATATTAATGTAACTCGAGGCCAGATTTACTGCCTAAAGTACTCATTTTCTGGTGAATTACAACTAAATGAAATTTGAATTACTGTATTAAAGTCTACCATCAATAAATATTTCCGTCCAGTACTCCTTGACTGCTGGTAAAACTATGGATGTAATTCTGAGCTGTTCCTTGATGTATTGTACAATATAAAAATGTACAAAATATAAAATTTAGAAATATATAAGCCAGCTTGAAGTGACCTTGGAAGCATTATACCCATGAAAGGGCAGAGCTTCATCTAAGTAAACTGTCTTACCTGACAAGCAGATAATATTAATAGCACTGTAAAATAGCTGTAAACCAAGATAATTTTGAAAGTATTAGCATGGGTATTTCAAGATGAAATGGCATTGCCATATCCAGAATTAGCACCCAAGAGGAAAAGGAGAGAGTTTAAGTTGATTCTAAACCACAGCTCTTCTAATTCTGAGAGGTGGTGCAGTCTCAGGTCCAATTAGGCAAGACCCAATCCCTAGCTGCTTTTACAGGTGCTTGTGGCACATATTTGCTGCACCGTTTACAATCCCTTTACTGCTAATATGTCCATTCCAAATCCTGGAAGGGATCTGGAGGGAGCTATCCAAGAGGCTTCTCCCTCAGGCAGAACTTTTCTATTCAGACCTGACTTAGGCTGTTAAACATCTTTCCCTTGAGTTGCTCTTTCTACAGCAACTTAGTCTCAGGCTGTAAAATGCAGATTAAATGATTCTAATATTGTATTAAAGATTTCTAATATTGTAGATCAGAGGAGTACCGTGCTACCAGGATGGTTTAAAGCTCTGATGAGGTACTGTGTGAGATTCATTTAATCTAGCTAGACACCAACCATGTGAAAGTCCACATGTGCTAGTTATCCTAGGCTTCCTTTATGGAAAGAAATACACTTTATGGTATGAGTTGCTTGACCTGCTTTATCTTTATAGTTTTGTGTGAGATTAATTTTGCGCTTAGATTGCCTGTTTCTCTCCTTTAACTTTAAAGAGAACCTAGACAACTCACTTTGTCTAGGTATGTCTTGGGTCACACACTTTCTTTGCATGGCGTGGCTGAGCACCCATCACAGAACAAGCAGCTGTTTTCCAATATGGAAAACATCGAGATTGTGTTAGTATCATTATTATACTAGATAAAAAGAAGAGTTTGAATAATTTATATTGACGGGCACCTTCATATTTCTTATTATTTGTTGTACTTTAGGTATACAACACCATCAAAGATGAGAGTAAGAACTAAATACTGCTGGTTTTCTGCTATACTTTTTAAGGTAAGGATACAAGTTGAGTTAGAAATCGTGAAGTTGACAAATTGCTTCTAAAATTTACATCTCAATAAACCTCTATTAAAATATTTCTATTTTGGTTGTAAAGGAAAACTGGAGATCAGAGGTAGTTGACAATTTATGCACATTAGATTACATGTTTTTATTCTCTCTTTTTTTAATCATTATTCTTGTATTATAGCCTAAAAATTATCACTTCAATAAGAGACTAGTGTCTCAGAGAAATAATGAAATACTGAAAAGTGAGGATGGCTAAAATATTTGGCAGTCAAATATATTTTTCTTCTCTTGAAGTGTTCTGCTCAGGAAGAGCTGGATGGCATCAACAACAGCAGAGTGCTCTCTGTCAGATCTGTACACAGGCTTCACAGATTGACACAAACTTTCAACCAGGAGAACAGACTCTTTAGAAAAAGAAAATTTTGAATCGTTTTTAGCATTGAAAGATTGGTTTGTAATACTAAAATCTCAGCTTCGTAAGAAGTTTGCTCTAAAAATAGAGGGTAGTCAAAATGATTCAGTTTCATTTATGAAGCAAATGAGATCATTAAAATTAAGTTTGCAAACTTTCAGAAACCAACTATAGACAAATAAAGGACTTCAGTTTACTTTTAAAAGAAAGACTTGAGATATCAATAACAAAAGTGATACAGGAAAAAGAACCACAAGTATTGTGCCAGTCATACTCCACTGGGATCAATGCTTAATCATCCCAGTGCAGCATCAGGAAGTTAGCTGGCTTGTTCCAAAACAAACCAATGCCACTTTCTAACATCTTGTGCCAGCCATGACTGTGACTGTGTGACCTGTGCAAGGCCATGTTTAAAATCTCATTAAGTTCAGCAAAGGGAGAACAAGTTGAAGAAAAAAAGGTGAAGGAGAATTTTGACTAGCTTCTAGCACTGTAATTGCTGGTGGTACAAAGCTGAAAAATTTTGATTCCTCCTTTTGACAGAAATAGTAGTAAGCTTTTGTTCCAGTTGCATAATGGTAGAAATAATTGTGACTTGTCTGAAGTGGGTCTAATATTAATTGGGATACGAGCAGCTTGCAGGATGTCTTGAAAAATACAGTCAATTACTGTCACTGTACCTTGTGAAGTTCAAGCCCATAATTTGTTTCTTAATTTGGAAAGCTTTTATATCCTTATTTGAATTCCACCTCTGATATAGTCTTTAGGCTTGTTAATATCTCAGATCTGGGTTTGTAAACGCATATTTCTCTAGCATATCATAGCTAATTACAAGATAAACAGTATTGGAAAGAAATATCCAACATCGGAGACAATGTTGGCATTCCTCCTTTTTTAAAGGAGGAACATTTAGGTTACTTCTTTAAAGTTCACATCAGTTTTAAGTCATATGAATGATTTAAGCTGCAGTAGTTGACCTAGTTAAAGGTGCAACTAGGGTGGAACTAGCTTTTAACCAGCCTTAAAGTCAACAACTCTCCCAGAAATGATGGCTGAGGTGATGCCAGGGCAAGGACTTAAGGCTAAGTACAATCAAACTAGCTTTCTTAGCTTGTGGGGAAAATAAAAGGCTTTTCTTCTGATGGAGGACATTTTCCATGAAACATCTCTGGACTGGTAAAGAAATGTTTGAACACATCCCCAGAATCATCTCAACAAATTTTTCCTATGCATTTTCCTTGATTATGGAGATGTTTGAAGAAATTATTAAGTTTTTTCTGTCTGACCATCAGAGTCTTGTCCTGAGAATTAGATAAGAAGTCTTTGTGAGAACCCCTAGTGATTTGTTAGGTTTTTTTCCCAGTGCTTCCAGAGATTTATTTGGGATGCTTTGACTTAGAATCTGAGAGAAACACCATTGGCTCTTCAGGAAGATTTTTCATTACCTGGGAAGTAGTTGCTGAGGAATCTTTCATGATTATTTTTCTACACCTGGATTAGTTTTTCTCTTTTGCTTGTTCTATGAAATACTGTCCTTAGACTATTCACAGCCTGTTTTGTTTTTTTTTTTTCCCTCCATCAAGTTCACACATGAAGCATTTTTTCTAAAGAGATTTTTCATCGTTATGTCTGGAACAACTGGGTATTTAAGATATTGACTAAGTTTCATTTATGAAGTCAATTATGATTCTCAAGGGTTGGAGTTTTATAGGGTTTCACTAATGCCTATACACATCTTTTCACAAGTATTTCATTATTTTTACTTTCAGACCCTGTTTAGAGCTTCTCTTCCACATCCAACATCTGACTGTGACTTTGCACAATATGAAGCAAATATGCTTATTCCTGGTATCGACTTGTTCTCTGATCGCTGGAGAGCTGATATCTCTACTGTAGTTGCAAGTCTGAATTTCCTTATGTTTGAACTACATTGTGCAAAACAAAATTTAGTAGTAAGTATTATTTTCATACTCTGGAAATGAATTTCAAGACATCAAGTCTTTTTTTTTTTGTGTGGGTGTACTTATGAGATACCTTAGAAGCTCTAGCAAAATATCTGTATGGTTAAGTTCTGTGGCACTGAGATAGAGGCAAGGTATAGCTTCCTGCCTATGACTTTTAGAATATACAGCGTGCTTGTTTATTCAGGAGGATGACAATACAAGGTCCACTTAGAGGAAATTTCCTGTCATATACAGTTTGAAATACAATGTACCAAGAATTACTTTAAATGCAGTATGTCCAGAATGCTTTCAATACTTCTACTTTCACATTCAGTAAGTGAAAGTCCCTTCTGCCTTTTTTCTTTTCATGTCCTCTTATTCCTCTGTATGGAGTGTTTTTACAGCTTCCCTCTTAATATTGATCATGTGTTTATTTCCTCCATTTAATGACTTCCACTTCCACTTTAATTTAACTTATTTCAAAGGTGCAGTGCTCTATGTTGGAATAAATAGATTGAAATGCTTACTAGTTCTGAAAAAGGCACAATTCTACCTCTTTTCCTGTTTGGTCCTGTATGCTCTAACAGTTTTTCATGTCAGGCCATTATTGTATACCTCTATAAATCAACTCTCAGCATGACAGAAAACTCCTCAGCAGAAAGTTTTCTCCTGCTTTAATGAGTTGAATCCATTTATGGAAAAGTCCTGCAAGTGGCAGAGCCAGTGCAAGGGAGGGGAAAAGATTGTGTGGCTGGGGCAGGGTAGTAAGAAAAGTTTAGGGGGTTGAGATGGAAGTAGAGTTAGAGAGGAGGAGGCAGCAAGATGTTGCCCTTTTTTGTCAGCAAGCCATTTGTTGGATTGATTTCTTCTGGAACTTCAGGCTAAGTGTCTGTCCTATTGTTGTTGCTTCTTTCCATCCTGCTTTACTGGAGTTCATTTTGTTATTAAGGTTTGTCTAACTGCCTTCGCTGTGGGAGATCAAATGAGAACAAGGAGCAGTTCCCTGAAGGCGGGGACACTTAATTTGACTGCTTGCTTCACATGGCCACGCACATTTTTGATTCTTTCTGTGCTTGTACTAGCAGAATATAGATCCGGGTCATAGATCATGGTCAAAGCAATTGTAGTTTCAGCAAGATGAGAGCTTCATTTCCACTGAATGTTTAATGCATGGGAATGTTTTGGATGGTGGGCACTAAGTTGATTTGACACTTCAATCAAAATACATCAAGATTCAAGTTTTATTAAAAACAAGACTTCAAAGACTAATTTTATTGAACTACTTCAACTTTAGGAAGGACAGGCAGGGGAGATGAGGCAGGAGTGTTGCCTCATCTATCTCAATGACCAGCTGGAGTGCATGGAGCTCTGCCTGGGGATGGCTGAGGAGCTGACTGAGAGCTTATGGGTCAGGATTAAAGGGAGGGTAGGGACAGGTGACATTATAGTGAGGGTCTGCTACAGGCCACTGGACAAAGAAGACTGAGCAGATGAGGCCCTCTATAGACAGATAGGAGCAGCCTCACATTCACAAGCCCTGGTCCTCATGGAGGACTTCAACCACCCCGATATCTGTTGGAGGGACAACACAGCAGGGCATAATGAGTTGATGTTAACTTCCTTCTCGAAATGAAAGAGGAGCCAACGAGGAGAGGTGCTATGCTGGGCCTTGGTTTCACCAGCAAGGAGGGGCTGGTAGGGAATTTGAAGCTCAAGGGTAGCCTTGGTTGCAGTGACCATGAAATGGTGGAGTTCAAGATCCTTAGGGCAGCAAGGAGGGTGCTCACAGCAAGCTCACTACCCTGGACTTCAGGAGAGCAGACTTTGGCCTCTTCAGGGACCTGCTTGGTAGAGTCCATGGGACAAAGTCCTGGAGGGGAGAGGGGCCCAAGAAAGCTGGTTAATATTCAAGATCACCTCCTCCAAACTCAGGGTGATGGTTCCCAACAAAGAGGAAGTCACGCAAAAGTTCCAGGAGGCCTGCATGGATGAACAAGGACCTCCTGGAAAAACTCAAACACAAAAAGGAAGCCTACAGAGGGTGGAAGCAAGGACAGGTAGCCTGGGAAGAATACAGAGAAATTGTCTGAGAAGCCAGGGATCAGGTTAGGAAAGGCAACGCCCTGATAGAATTAAATCTGGCCAGGAACATCAAGGGCAACAAGAAAAACTTCTATAGGTATGTCGGTGATAAAAGGAAGACTAGGGAAAATGTGGGCTCTCTCCAGAAGGAAACAGCAGACCTGGTTACCCAGGACATGGAGAAGGCTGCGTACCCAATGACTTTTTTGAGTTAGTCTTCACCAGCAAGTGCACTGCCCAAGTTGCAGAAGGCAGGGACTGGGAGAATGAAGAAGGACCCATTGTAGGAGAAGATCAGATTTGAGACCGTCTAAGGAACCTCAAGGTGCACAAGTCCATGGGGCCTGATGAGATGCATCTGTGGGTCCTGAGGGAACTGGTGGATGAAGTTGCTAAGCCACTATCCATCATCTTTGAGAAGTTGTGGCAGTGCAGTGAAGTTCCCGCTGACTGGAGAAGGGGAAACAGAATCTCTTTTTAAAAAGGAAGTCACAGGGAACTACAGGCCAGTCAGTCTCACCTCTGTGCCCGGCAAGATCATGGAGCAGATCCTTCTGGAAACTATGCTAGGGCACATGGCAAATAAGGAGGTGATTGGTGACAGCCAATGTGGTTTCACTAAAGGAAAACCATGCCTAAAGCATTTGGTGGCCTTCTGTGATGGGGTTACAGCATTAGTGGATAAGGGAAGAGCAACTGACGTCCTCTACCTGGACTTATGCAGAGCATCTGACACTGTCCCACATGACATCCTTGTCTCTAAATTGGAGAGACATGCATTTGATGGATGGACTGCTTGGTTGATAAGGAATTGACTGGATGGTCGCACTCAAAAAGTCACAGTCAACAGCTTGATGTTCGAGTGGAGACCAGTGATGAATGGTGTTCCTCAAGGGTCGGTATTGGGAACAGTGCTGTTTAAAATCTTTGTCAGTGATGTGGACAGTGGGATTGAGTGCACCCTCAGCAAGTCGCTGACAACACCAAGCTGTGTGGTGCAGTGGACATGCTGGAGGGAAGGGAAGCCATCCAGAGGGAGAGGTCAACAAGGCCAAGTGCAAGGTCCTGCACCTGGATCGGGGCAATCCAAAGCACAAATAACAGGCTAAGCGGAGAATCGATGGAGAGCAGCCTTGAGGAGAAGGACTTCAGGGTTTTGGTTGACAAGAAGCTCAACATGACTCAGCAATGCGCCCTTGCAGCCCAGAAAGCCAATCACATCCTGGGCTGCATCAAAAGAAGTGTGACCAGCAGATCAAGGGAGGTGATTCTCCCCCTCTAGTCTGCTCTGGTGAGACCTCACCTGCAGTACTGTGTCCAGCTTTGGGGCCCTCAGCATAAGAAAGACCTGGACCTTCTTGAGTGGGTCCAGAGAGGGCCACAAAGATGATCAGGGGCTGGAGCACCTCCCTGGTGAGGACAGGCTGAGATAGTTGGGGTTGTTCAGCCTTGAGAAGAGAAGGCTCTGGGAAGACCTTATAGCGGCCTTCCAGTACTTAAAGGGAGCCTATAAGAAAGGTGGGGAGGGACTCACTATCAGGGAGTGTAGTGATAGGATGAGGGGTAATGATTTCAAATTGAAAGAGGGAAGATTTAGATTAGATATTGGGAAGAAATTCGTCACTACAAGGGTGGTGAGATGCTGGAACAGGTTGCCCAGAAAAGCTGTGGATGCCACCTCGCTGGAAGTGTTGAAGGCCAGGTTGGATGGGGCTTTGAGCAACTTGGTCTAGTGGAAGGTGTCCCTGCCCATGGCAGGGGGGTTTGAACTAGATGATCTTTAGGGTCCCTTCCAACCAAAAACATTCTATGATTCTATGAAATAACAGTTGGAAACTGTATGAGTACAATTAAAACATTTGCCTCAAGCTTTTGTAATCCAAATTGAGAAGTATTATGCTACTGTATGAAAACTAAAAGTGCATTTGATAAAAGAGTAACAATGCTGATAGCATTTTCCAAGCCCGAGGACATTTTAAAGAGAAAAATGTAAAAGCTGAACAGTAATTAAATTTTGGAATTTCTTCCATTTTCAATAAACAAATATATCTGTTAGGGAAGAATCTGCTTTTTCTGAAATATTATATAATAATAAATACAGTGTTTGTGTACTTTACTAGTACTCAGTTTTAAATGTTTTTCATTAGTTGCCTCTACAAAAACTTTCGATTTGAAATGAATGCAATAAATTTGTCAATAAGCCTCATCACCATCCAGTTTATTTTACAATTGGTATCATTTTACTTAGACAGTTGCAGGACTTAATTGTGTTTATTTTATAAAGCTTGCAGAATTCTGTTACTTATACTGAAAAATATTATGGCATCAAAATGCAGACAGTTTTAGAAATCCCTTATATCAACATCTTTTGAGTAGGTTTACTTAATAATGGTAAATAACTGGTAAATAGTAAAAAAACCTACCTCAAACACATAGAGTAATTTGATGAAACTTCACTTTCTGCATTGTGAATCACATATAAAATAGTATAAGGGGTTAGCTTTAGCCAGCTGAAGAAATTTTTAATACAGTCCTTGTTCACAGGAGCAGTGGTGATATGTGGCAGTGAAAGCAGTACTCCTATATTATCTATATATTTGTGATATATAATTGCAATGTACATTTCAATAATTGTACCCTTTATGACATTTATCACTAGATGACCTAATATTTTCCTACAGATTTTACCATTGTTCACATTATACCAATACATTGTTTCCGAGATTTGTAAGGACCCAGCTAAATGTATTGAAGGAAGAATCTTCAAGGTAATAAAACATATGTTTTTTGTGTTTTTTTCATTTTTGTTTTTAGAAGTGAAACAAACACCTAACTTTGAGATTTCACTTATTTACTATAAAATGTAAAAGATTTCTTTCCATTGAATAACATTCTCCGTCAATGGACTATTCCAGCAGTCAAATCTACTTGAAAATTACCTTTGAATACATCTTATTTTGAGCAAAAGAATAATTGAAAATTATTTAAATCAAAAGCTCTGTTATTTTTTCACAGATTAAGGTACTCACAGATATAGGCTTTTTTACGGAGGCCTTTCATGAACTGTCTTTGCTTTACTGTGGAGAGAGAATTCCATGGAAAATACCTGCAGGATACAGAAAAATTGAACAAATGAAGGTAAACACCAGTAAAGTATAACATGGAACTATAGCACTCAATTCTCTTCATGAAACTGCTCATACTCCATGTCTGCGATTTATTACACATTCCTAAAAATTTCCTTTCTTTCAATAGGCAGGTCAAATATTAGGCAATGAATGGCACTTACTGAACAGCAGGAACAAAAATAACTTTTGAATCACACACATTGTCTGTTTTATACAGCGAGTAATGCAGATAATACTGTTGAAAAAAAGAGTGTGTGATTTCATATGTAGACATTAAAGACATGGATAGAATTCTTGCCCCATTAATGGCAAAATTCCCACTGCCCCAGCCAGGAGCAGGGCAGCGGAGGGCGAGCTGGAGCAACCCCCAGCCCAGGGCATCGGGCACCTCTGTGGAGCCAGGGGCAGGCCAAGGCCGGGCTGGGCCATCAGCCTGCAGGTGGGGGTCAGGACCAGGCCTGGTAAGGAGAACTGGACTCAGACACAGCCCCAGGATGGACGCACAGGGCTGTGGTGTCTGGCTGAGGCTGAGCTGGGATCTGGCCCACCGATGGGCCTGGCTGAGGGGGCCCGTGGCAAGGCAGGGCTGTGGGGAGCTGGAGACCAGCGCTGCTGTGGCCTCGCTGGGGCAGGGGCTGATGGCCCCGGGGGGCTGACATGGGGTTGTTGGCCATGGGCAGGGTGAGGGGAGCCCCAGGAGATGTTGGGCAGTAAGAGCTGTTGGTGCCCTCAGAGCCCTGATGGTCACATCAGCTCAGGTCAATGTCTTTCATCTTCTCCACGTCTAAAGCCAAGTGATCACTAATGTGCTACAAGGTTTTGAAGCTGTTAACAATTGACCTGGGCTTCTCTGACTTGCCTATGAGCATAGCTGTGCAGGCAGATAGAGTCCAGAGCTGTATTGGCAAGCCTCCCCCATAACAATTACACAGCCTTTCCTTGTTTTTCAAGTACATACCTAAATAATCTAATGAGTTATTGCTGGATGGATGGAATCAAGGTCTCCCTTATCTGAGTGGTGTTTTTGGGTAGGTGTCACCCTATGACAAAATATTTGTGCCAGCACTAGGGAACAGGGCTGAACATGCGGTAGAAGACTAGTGGGACAGGTAAGGACACCTCTTTTGACAGCAGCATGGATTTAACTCTGTTGTACAGCCACATTCTATGCATGCAATAGAGTGATATTTCTAATCTGGTGATAATTACAGGCTAGTGCTGAAAGGTGAATTCCTAACCCACCTCCATGACTTCACATTTGCGTCCCTTACCCTGTGTTGTAGACAGTGAAGCTGGCACTCCAGAGCAAATGGAGTTTAAAGAGCTGATTTGAAGGGAAATTTCCCCTCTCCCACCTCACCAAACCCTGAGAGGGAGTTTCCAGGTGACTCAAGGGCTGACTGTCCTTACATTGCAGCCTCACAATGGCTATAACCAGCACAGAGCAGCTGTAGCTTTTTTGGCAATAGCCAACAAATCAATGTCTAAGATAATTAATAAGGGAATAATTGCAGTTACATTTATGATAGGACGTCAAATGTTTAAATTTAAAACCAGAAATGTGTACAAGCATTCCTCCTAGAATAACCTGCAGTGAGACTAGATTTTAAATGAATTGTGAACTTCATAAAAAGCAGAATTAAAAAATTTGTCAAAAAAGGTGACCTTTTCAATTTGCCAATGACACATTCATGCTAACTATTTGAGAAGATAAGAAACTGAAATCCAGTGATTTTCCCTAGACCACAAGCTACATTACATTCTCACTAGGTTGAGCCATAAAGAGTTATTGACATCGTCACTGGAGTTGATTGTGCAAAGCTTCCCTGTTCATAGATACAGTAGAATGCATTTACCCCTTGATTCTATTCAGGTTAAAATGCATCTTTAAGTCCTTTCCTTAATTTGTATATTGTCTGAAGAGCTCATAGAGTTAGGATGAAGGTTGATTTGTCACTTGTTTTTTTCTAACTGGATTCACAGGTGAGTGCTCAGGTGAATAGCAGAGGAGGTTCAGCATTAGGTCTCTGGTTAGGGTGTCGACGCATGTAGAAGCTAAGTGCTTGCTGGATTTCTGCGCAGCTCTCAGAATAAGAAGGGCTCATCTTCCAGGGAATGACAGAGATGACAGAACGCTACATTTGGAGTATAGAGTTAATAAATGCATTAATAAAAACTACATAGAACCCAAGTGACAGTTATGTGTAGAGCTCTCAGTTATGTCGAAGGCTGGAAATGATCTTTACCTCTGCCTTTTCCTTCCCCTCAGTAGACTGATTTATCTCCTGGTGAAAAGTTAAAGGGTTTTTGAGCAAGGACTAGAATTAGGGTTAGGGTTCAGAAAATTGAAGAACATATAAGTGACGAAATAGTTGTTTTAAGAGCCCTCAAGGAGGCTGACGTCTCAAGTTCATCTTGACTTTTAGCTCTCGTTTTCATTCCATTCACAGATTTGTGCTCTGGTGAATAGCAGAGGAGGCATGTGCTAAGTCTGGAGTTAGGTTTGGAGTTCAGAAACGTAAAGAACGTAAAGGCAATTGATGCTTGGTGTCTATATGGCTCCTAGATTTTAGAAAAGGATTTTTGTTGGTTTATGGCTTTTTTTCCCCTTGCTTCAAGTTGAAGAATCCTGGCAAATGGCATAGGTGTAGGGATGGTTTTTTGGGTCTCAGTGTATGGTTCAGAAATGTAAAGCCTGTAGAAGCCAAGTAATTGTTTGTATTTTCAGAGCCTTCAAAGTGTAGTTGGAAATGCACTACCCTTGTCCGCACTTACCCTTGCTAACTCACTTATTTTATACTCATATTGTAACACATTACTTGTTTTTGGTTTTGCCCATTTTACAGGCCTCACAGAAGTTTGACTCCTCAAAATCTCTCCTGTCTGTTACAAATTTACAGGTAAAAAAGAATCTGAACGAGCTAAAAATTTTATGCTAGACATAAATATTTATTTCCCTGGCATCAGGTAGAGATTATTTGGTTCAGAAAATGTACTTCTTGTTAGTAAAAAACAGTAAACAGAAAACATATTCTCCTCAACAGTTTACCATTTCTTAAATTTTAAATATTATGGCTGACCTGTCGTGGGAGAGGCAAGTACCATTATCATCATTTTTCAGATAGGAGACCTAATACGTATCATGCTATCACAGAATCATAGAATCATAGAAGAGTTTGTGTTGGAAGAGACCTTAAATATCATCTAGTTCCAACCCCCCTGCCATGGGCAGGGACACCTTCCACTAGACCAGGTTGCTCAAAGCCCCATCCAACCTGGCCTTGAACACCTCCAGGGAGGGGGCAGCCACAGCTTCTCTGGGCAACCTGTTCCCGTGCCTCACTACCCTCACAATGCAGAATTTCTTCCTAATACCTAATCTAAATCTTCCCTTTTTCAGTTTGAGATGTAAAAATCTGTAACTCGTCTGTGCAAGGCATACTAGTAAAATTAATCAGGTTTTGTCATAATATGTAGGGTCTGGTGTTTATCTTGCTAAAATACTCAGAACATAAATCATCTAACCTTACAATTTCTATCAATCAGTGCTGTCTTCACAGATTTGTCCTAATTCAGATTGGGGTTGAAGTCCATTTTGGGGGGGGGAGGGGAAGAAAAAGTGAATGTGTAAACCACTTAATGAACAGTCATTTCTCATTTTGATTAAAATCACATGTTCATCAACAACATGTTTTTTGGTTTTCAGTTTTAATAACTTTCTTTCATTTGCCTTGTCACAGATCCATTGAGCCAGTAGCAGTAAATGTTAGCAGAATGTGGAAAAGAAGCTGTACCATAAAAACAAATTGATAAAGTAGAAAAAAAATACACTTTTCCCCTTCACTTTTCTCTTTTGTTTACAGTAAGCTTTTGTGACTCCTACAACAGTCAATACTAGAAGACAGAAATGAGATGTCTTGACAGCTTTTGATCTCACTAGTTTCAGATTTATTTTGAAGTTGTGCTTTATCTTGAGCTTTTGATTTGAACACTTCACAGTCTATACAGGGCTCTTATTGGTATCCTTATGATTTTGTAAAGCTGTGTAGACTTTCAACTTCTAAATTTATTAATCTAAAGTGAGAATATTAAACTCAAGATAAAACAAGGTTGCTATAATGAATAACAAAAAGAGTCTATGAAATATGCTAGAACGGACTGATACAAGAATTTTTTTCCTTGCTTAATCTTTCTAGTTAGGATGAATTGTAACAAGAGACTTTCCTTTGAGTTGAGATTTCTGAACTACAGATTTACTCACATACTTTTTGTGACCACCTTAGCTCAAAGGGTGCTATGGACAATGCAGAAAACTAGAACTCACACAGAGTAATAGCTGTAACTTCACAGATGCACCTTCTACTGGAAAACTGCCCACTGAGGCTGGAGCAAGTGCTATTAAGGGGTGAATTAAGTTTGGAAAGGAAAACAGCAACTCATCCTTAATGACTAAGAACATATTACTAATATTATTCATGTTAATTGTTGATAAACATGATTATTAGTAGAAGCAGAATGTGCCTTGAACAAGAAAAATGTAAAATATGTCATTTCAAATAGTCCAATTGTTAACTTTCTCGTAGGTACTCGAAGGCATATTTAATTGGAGTCTGTCTTTAACAATGGTGCCACTGTGCAACCAACAAACTATGAATAAATTAACCTTAGCCAAAATGCATTTCATCATTTGCCTTTCTGCCACAATAAATAATTTACCTGAAAAAGTGGAAAAACACATCTATTCTGTTGATAACAATAGCTTGAAGGAGCCAAGCAGAATTACAGCATCGAATGTAAAAGGTAATTATAAAGGTGGTGGAAAAGTGCATTTATTCTGCAACTTGTTTCAAGCATAGTTTTTCCTCTTTTAAATGCCTATGCATTAATGTGTCATACTGTAAACAATATTCATATCTAATGTTGCTGAAAAAATAAGTCATTATTGAAATAATAAGCATTAAGATTTTCAATGCGTTTTTAGCTAGTATCTTTAATATTATTAGAACTATATTACATTATGCTTCACTTGTTTTGATACTGAAAGTCCCAATTACAAATAGAGAAAAAAGGGGCATATTCTTCAAATTACTGAGAATGCTTTGATTCTGCATCTGTTATCATAGAACCATAGAGTCGTTTAGGTTGAAAAAGACCTTTAAGATCATCAAGTCCCACTGTTAACTGCTGAAATTTCATCTGAAATGTATTTGACAGTTGATGCTGATAAGAATCCAAGACAACAGGAACAAAGAGGCATAGTGGTGCAGCTCGTTGACTGTAAAGATGAATTAAATATGGCCATGCTGAAGGTAATTTTGGTTTTTAGGAAAAAAGGCTTAAGAAGCTGCAGATTCTTCCAAAAACATTATTAATGTCTTCAATGTAACAGAAATTATGACAGGAGGACGGCATGAAGAAGGGGACTAGGAATTTCTGTTCCTAATCTGACTGTAATCTCATTAGCCATACATCATGTTTGGTGGTTTGGTGCAGTTTTTCAAACGGTCTCTATGGGAAATATTGTCATAATTAGATCCCAGTATGACTGTTTCAGCAACAAGAGAAAGACTGAATGGGATTTCAAGGATAAATCATCTCCTTTCAGAGGGTAGCGCCTGCAGAACACATCAGAGACTCTTTGATGGGGCAGTAAGCTCTACAAATAAACGGAAAACCATTCTCTACTGTGTGTGAAATGCCTCACATTTTTCATGTTCCTCTTTCTTTATTTTGGAGAAAACGTACCACAGCTTGTTAGCTTCTTTGTTTGAACGGGTTTTGTTTGTTTGGTTTTGATTTTAGTTTTTGTTTTGTTTTACTTAATTGTAAACTTTATGCTTGGCAGTTTCACATCACAAAAAAGCCTAAAACCGAGGACTGGCATATTCTTCTTTCAGAGGGGTCTTTCACTTTGGAAGTATCTACTTTTGGCCATTGTTACAAACAAAGCAATGTACAAAACACATCTGGAGAAATGGAGGATGGTTTTGTGTGGGAATTGGTATATGCCATACACTAGAAACTTGAAAGTTTTGGTATAGCTTGGAAATAATTTGAAAACAGCATCTGGAAAAGAACTAAAATAGAAATGTTAAATTAATTTGAGTGGGACTTGTTTAAGAGACATAATATATTTCTTACCCTTCTGATCTTTCTTTAACCATTCTTTTTTTTTTTTTTTTTTTTTTAAGTAGAGCTCTGAATCCAATGAGGAACCTGGTCAAAAAAGATATTGGATGATACAAAACTTTGAATTATTTTTGAATTCTGCTGAAAGCTCCATGATTAAGATTTTATTTAAAATTAACTTTCTTTTAGATTTGTTTTTCACAGCTTCTTACAGCTTTGTTTGTCAGAAAGACTGTAAATTGCAGTTGAACTTTCAGGATACATACTGCACTCAAAGATCTGCTAAAGTATAGATAGAAAAGAATGTAATACTACTTGCAACATCTTTAATGTTGTATTTTAGTGCTGTATTTTATTGTTTAAAATTACTAAGCATAGTAAGAAATACAGTATAAAACTATCTAGTATAGCTATGAGATAAAGACAAGAATTAAAAATTATTGAGTAATATTGCTAAACCTTAAAATATATAGTTAAGCATAAATTGCACCACTACAGGCACAGTTAAGGTGTTAATTGTTAAAAATTCAACACATTGAATCTGTAAATCTGAAAAAAGCAAAATCACACCCACCACCCACACCCCACCCCACCCCAGCCCCCCTCAGTTACATTGTATTCAAGTTGATTTGTTTCAGGATGCAGTGATAGTAGGTTATAACAGAATAACATACTTTTAAAGAAATTGTTTCTTTCTTTCATTATTTTTTGAAATTATACAATGCTGTGTTCTTCTCTAGGGGATTTTATTGACAGAAGCTGAAGAAACTCTTAGCCATCTTGTACAGAACATACAGGACAAATATGACGGGGAGATATCTGGGTGTTCTGCTGAAGATTTAGAGGCTCTTACTGAGGCCAAACTTCAGCTTGCTGCTATTTCTCAGCAAAGACATCAAGCAGCTTTCAGGTAGGTAATATTATGAACAACCACATGTTGCACAGCCTTGACTACAGAAGATTAAAAAAATATCCAGCAATTTTTTCTTTGAATATGTCTACATTAATATTCTAAATCTTAGCAACCAACCATAACAACCCCACTAGTATATCTACAAAGGTAAGTTACGCTGGCATTTCATTTTTTATTATTGCTTTATTTTACTTTTTAAAAGATCATTAGTTATTTGCCTATGATTTCTCTGTGAGGTGTTTTTGTGATACAGTGTTATGCAAAAAACAAAGAAAAAGCTGCAACGGTCACTGTTTTTGTTAAAGTAAAAGTCTTGATATGTTAGGTCATGGGTTTTTATATAATTTTAAAGTGTCTAGCAGAGCACTAATGTTCTCTCTGAACTACTGAATTCTACTTTGTTCTAGAACGCCCTGTGTTTCTGCCCTAAAAGAACATTTCCTCATGATTAACTTCTTGGTGTCAAAATGTTAAAATTATATTTTTAAGATTAATTTAATTAAAAAGCATTGATGTAACAACATTTTAGAACAGATTTTAGCTGTCATTAATTATATTATTAGTGATAGTGTGTAAAATACTGTTGTATTTACATGATCTGCCAGATATTTTCTCCAAATTATAATTTCCAAATTCCGTCATTCTTCAAGGTTCTTTTGGAGAATTTAGTGAAATTACAGTTGTGCTGTTCGTTGAATATATGGGGAATACAGAAATATATTAACTCTTTGCAGATGTTAAATTCTGAATATTGTTTTGATCTTTTAGCTAGGAGGATTCTTCTGTTCAGCATACCTATAATTTTAAATTAATTTGTGTAAGAAGCCTGTAGTTTAACAATACATAATTTTTATTAGTGTCAAGCTCTTTTTATCTGATTTTTTTATTAGGTTCAAAAATCTTTGAGGGTACAAAATGCTAACTAGAGGTGCAGCATATAGAGGTGTAGCACTGTCGCTTGCCACGCTATATTGAGGGTATATTGGGTAGAATGTAATCAGTATTTGGAACTTTTGTTAGGTCTAATCTGACTAAACAGACCAAAATTATTACAGTAAATCTTGCATTATATAGTAAGCACGAAGCAAAATTAACACTTTTTATTGTTGGAATACTGGTGAAGATTGCTGTAACACTTACTGATGAAGTGGCAGGTGATTCAGCAGGCCAACAGATAAACCTGTCTCAGTGGGGTTTTTTTTTTCCTTTTTACCAGTTAACCAAAATGAAATGTTTTCTTCTACGTCAAAAGCAAACTGTCTTCCTTCTGCCAGCTGACTTAGGTGACTAAACAAACCTCCGCATCAGATAGCCTTTGAATAACACAATTCCTTTTTAGCTGCTATGGTACAGCAATAAGAAAAATAAAATGAGTAAAGACAGGAGCTTCACAGTGCTGTATAGACCACTGAACTGAAAACAGTAAGAGCACTGCAGCATGGTCTTTCACCAAAGTTTTGTTTATGTTATTTTAAAAGATAGAAATTTCCCAAAAGTTCAGATATTAGGACTGTAGTAATTTAGTAGTAATGTCATTACTGAAGATGTGAAGTAAGAACTTGTAGGCTATTTGTGGACATTTCTCAGCATGAAATATTAATTTATTTCAGGGCCTTTTGAATTAGATTAATCTACCACAAATTTGTCAAAGAGAAAACAATAAATCACTGGACAGTGACCTAATCATGCTTTTGAGTGCCATGTGGATTTTATAAAATGACTATATGAGTAACTAAGGACCAGTACGCAGACTTATGAAATACCTTGTGCATAAAACCAGTGTAGCTTGATACTAGGCTTGGTAAAACCTGTATTAGCAGAGTTCTGACCCAAACCTTCTCACCCTGCTACACTGGTTCCAGTATGCAAGCCACTTTCAGTGCAGGATCCTTCTTTTTGACATGCAGTTATATCCTAGAGTTTAGTGTCTCTCTTGGTTTATAACTTGTCTCAGAATGAGGAAACTTTTTTAGAGTATCAAGGGTTCCAATGACTGTCAAGCATTTTATGGATCATTTTCTGGGACTCTCAAATTTTTGCTGGGCCTTATATATTGACAGTGGTCAGATAGCAGGAAAAAAACCCCACCAACAAACAAAGCAAGGGTTTGGGTTTTTTTAACCTATTTTACAATTTTATTGCACTACCATCCATGGAAACTGCTGATATATCTGCCCCAGATACAAATGAAACATTCCTTCAGACAGCTGAATGTTTCCTGCCTGCCAGCCTAGAAATCAAACTTTGCATGATATTACAGAAATTCATCATTTTTTTCCTTTGGTAGAACGACTTAGTGGTGAAATTGTTATAGTCAGCTGTGCTTTCCTATTTTGATCATCTTGTCACTTTCTGATTCAGCTGATAAAAGGATGTGTATTTTGTCAAGGGAAATATATAGACCCATCACTCTTGTTGACAGCAGAAGAGGGTCACAAAAATTTCATCAAGGGAAGCTTCTACATTACAGCTTCTGTCTTGCAAAAAATTTATGCCTCAGAATAAGTTTATGTATAGGACTAATTCCATTAATCTCAAGGAGAGTACTTACATGGTGTCCCCCCTATTATGTGAGTTTTCTAGTTACCCAAATACACAATGTATGTGCTTGTCTGCTTATGTGAATACCTTACTGCTTTAAACAATACATATATGAATCTTTGGGCTTGTGGTCTACATTTTACTCATGAAATTTTTATGTATCCATGTAGGTAAAAATGGTCTCATTTTCAGAATAGCTAAATGTTGACAACAGCAGTTAACTGGAGGCAGTGGTGCTCAGGATGGTAGGATTTCTTAAAAGCCTCTATATACTTTTGAGTGCTTCAACTTCTCCAACTTATTTGAGAAATATTAGCCATAGCATCTCAAACAACATTTTGAAAAACTTCAGGCTTTGCTGTAATTTTAACTCTGATGCCTTGTTTCAGGAGAAAACTCTTCTTAATAAAAAGAAAGAAAAGCAGTTGGCATACTTCATTGCATTTGCCTTACCGTCTGTTGCTTTTATAAGCAAATTCTGTTTCCTTTTTCCCACTGTTACAGAGAAGGTTATCATCAAATTCAACATTGTTTTATTCTGGTTTCATTTTTTTGAGTAAAACTGAGGTAAAGGGATGATGAAGGAGACTCATAGGGATTGAATCCTGAGAGCTGAAAGGCAAGATATTAACAGTTTTGGTTCTCATTGTTACTTTGGGGTCTATTTGTGCTGAATTGGTGTAATCCATCCAGGCCTGCATCGCAAAACAGCAAACAAGATAGAATCAGAAATGACAAGGAGACTTTAACTACCCTCTTATCTCTGGAGGTTATCCATCCTGTGGTTAGATACATCTTGGCAGAATGATGTGAGTAATTTCAGAGTAGTGCAGCTCTTCTGACTTCTTTGTGTGTGAATCAAGAACTTTGCCTTTACAACAATTAGCCTAGAACTTCTCAAAAGCAGTAAATTAACATAAAGCCTGAAACTTTCTTGCATTAAAAGCTCTTTAGTGTTCTGGCAGTGTAAAAAGGACTTAAAGTGTTCACATATTATTTTTTTTTTCTTTTGTGTCATAGCAGCCAGTCTCTATGTAAGGAAAGTCTCTCTATATAAAAAGACAGCATAGATGAGAATTTTAGTTACACACTTTTAAGAAATAACCTGCTGGGGAAAAAAAAAAAAAAAAAAAAGAGGTGATACCCTTGGGTACTTTTGGATCATTAGGAAAATACATTTCAAGTGGTAAAGAATAAGTAGAATAGTAAAAAAAAAAAACAAACCAACCCCAAAAATGTTTCAGAGAAGAGGTAGGAAAGTAGAGATTTACAGAGATAGGGGAAAATGTACAATTAGAGATGGAAGACTAATAACATGAGACATTGGCTTTGGCAGTTCTCAGAATACTTTGAGTAGCTTGTTCTTTGGGCAACAAATCCTGTTGTGAAAAAGATCTTCTCACTATGTTGTTTTTGCAAGTGTCTTCATATCATGAAAATAACTGTATTCACAAAGTCCACTGTTGTAGCTATACATTTTTACAGATGTCATGAAAATTGAACAGTGTATCTGAAACCTTTAAAAAGACAGCATGAAAAAGAAAAAAAAAAAACAAACCCTAGTAGTTAATATCTTAAGAAACCTGACAATATTTTGAGATCCCAACTCACAATGAAACGTGGGGTTGAAGGCTGCACCAGTCCTAACAGTGTCTGTATCTTTCTAGATGCTGCTTGGAGTGATCTCCAGAAAAAGATTTGTGATTGGGGGTGGGGGGCTGGAGACTCAGTGCCACGTGACGAGGTTTTGCCAAGACGGTACCTGGCTCAGTCTTTGGTTGATGGTGTTTATTAAGATCCTGTGAGTCACGTGGATTTAACAGAAGGATTAACATATAGCCTGGAACATAAACCTCTCTAGTTGTGGATGAGATACAGAACTCTCCTGATATATTTTGTCATTTTCAGTATTTTTACATCTTCGTCTGTTATTGGCAAAACTTTTTCTCTTACTGCTGTTTTCTCACTTCCATACTGCAGTGCCTACAAATTTAGAATATAGTCCGAGTGCAATTTTTTTGTTCTACTGAAGCAAAAATTGATAACTGCTGATAGACCTGACACAGTCAGAAATGAAGTATCTATTATAATAAAAGCATAAAATGGCAAATATAATTAGTATTTTTTAATAATATTTTTCTGTATCACAGTGTTGCTTTGGCTTTCTCTGCAATCCGACTTCTCCAAGATGCAAAAATTTTTAGGACGGAAGCAACACATTTGCAAGAAGAAAAGGGTGAAAGGGAGCATTCGGTATGTGTGGATATTTGTTTTAAACTATTGCTTCTTATTATATAAAGTCTTGTATTAAGTGTTGAGTGATTTTCAGAATACTAGAACACAGTAGTCACCTGTGTTATGTGGTTACCCTTAACCTGGGGAGAAAATGATGTATGACATGCTTCAGATACCTGCTTGCCTATAGTATATGCAAGATGTCTATACTCATAATTTTAATTTTTATGTGGTTAGGAATTAAGTTTTTATTTGTGTACTCTCAAATGGCAGCATTGAAAATCCATTTCTGTTTAAAAAACCCCAAACAAACAGAAAGTGGAAAAATTAGCTATCAGGTGAAAATTTTATATTATTCAGTTAAGGTATTTTAGGTTTTTTGCTTGAAAACCTACTTCAGAGTACCCTTTTTCAAAGAGCCAGACTGACCTGTTCACACCATTGTTGTGTTCCAAATTTAGCAGGATTTCAGCTGACTTCTGTTGTCTAACACATAGGGACACTGACCTGTACTTTGGAAAGCCAGTGTACAAAACCTATTGGTAGTACGCCCCCACGGTCGCTCTTGAGCGCACAGGAAGTCACACAGACTCATAGACAGAGCAATTGAACAGTGAGGCCGGATTTTGTAACATGCATAATGGGACAGGACTTCCTTGCAGGCCATGTAATTATTCTCTGTTGCTTATCAGGGTCTTCTGTCTTTCTGCACTTGCTCCTGCATTTTCTTAGAACTGCCCTGTAGCCAGTAACTCAGCTATGACTATTTTTTTTTCCTCATTTACATCAATGTGAGACATTCATGATGATTTTTGAATAAGTAAAACAAAGGTGATGCAGTGTCCATTTGTTTCTTGCTGGAACAAATCTTTAGAATATGGCCTGAAGAATTTTAGTAATAGAAAGACTGTTTATAATATGTGAAGATGGTACAGGGGGTTGAGCTGAGAATTGTCCCAAATACTTCCAGTACTATATTACATTAATATTTGTTTCTAATCACCAGAAACACTAAAAACTAGAAATCAAAATATAAAAATTTCTTTCTAATTGCTAGTGAGGTACCAGAACTTGATATTGATCCTGCTCTATAATTAGACTTTTATGTGCCTTAGTGTTTTGTGTAATGGTCCTGTTTGAGAGGAATAAAGTCCAAACTGTTAGAATTATTCTGCATGACACATATAGTATATGGATATATTTATGGACTCTCCCACAAAAACTGGCTTAATTTTCATCCGTTACAATTCTTCATTTTCTATAGATTTAAAGTTAAATAATAAATGGCCTCCTGTTATTAAAAATATGTATCTACCCTTCAAATAAACTTCTGGATATAATTCTGTTATTATTTGTAATATATTTGTATTTGATTTATTTTAGACTGATGCTGTCCTGTTGCTTTGTTTGTAGTAAAGTAGTTGACTTGGAAAGTAACATTTCTCTTGCTTTTGGAAATTATATTAGGACTCTTGCATTGGAGATGTTCGACTGCCTCACAGTATAACAGCACAGGAACATATGAATGTACATCTGTGGTTAAAGTGTCGTACAGTGTTAGCGACTGCACTAGTAACACAGATACATGGCGCTGCTGATATGAAAGGTATGACTCTTTTTTGGTTTAGACCTCTGGATTATAACAGGCAAGTGAGGGTATTCAGACAAAATTTTTATTCATAAATAAAAAATATTAACACTAATTCTGAGGCTGTATTATCACTGGGCAATTATTTGTATTAAATTCATTTAATGCAATAAGGAAAATATATTTCTGAGCACAATCTCTCCCTAGAGCATGTAAACACAAAGCATTATATTAATTTTCATCTAATGATCATTATCTTTTGATAACTCACTTGTGTGTGAAAAAGTTTCAGATGTTCTAGTGTGATTAAGTATGCTTGTTTTAAAAACCACTGTTGCTACATACTCCTAGTTTCAAAAGTCTCAGAAGGTTTTTTTTACTTTTTGTATCTCCAATAACTGGAATGTTCCTCTATGTCTCCTAAAAAATAGTCCAGGTTCTTTTTTTTAAAAATGGATTTGAGATACTACAAAATACATTTTTTGCAGTTTGATTATGAATAAAATGTTTTTCATTCCTTTGTTCTATGAACTTACTTAAGTGAACGTCAGAGTTTATACTGTCAAAATCACAGTCTAAGACTGTAGCCAAACTCTTACTTAGTCTTTTCTGAATAATTCCTGTGAAGGCTGTTACTATTTTGAAATGATAACTGAGATCAGATTTTTGAATATGTAGAATATGTTTTATGGGTGAGAATGACATCTGATCTACAAAATCTAATTATTTATGCTGGTGGTTTACATATAAATAAAGCATTTGGATGAACTTAAACCAAGTGCAGTTTAAAAACTAAGTGGTTTTTCTTTCTTTTTAAAGTAAAGTTGTCACAGAATCGGTGACATGGTAAATGTGGAATCTATAATTTCAAATTTTCTGTAACTTTTTAGTGTGGAAGTGACTTCTTAAGAATGGTAGAAGACACCGTAAAATCTTTTCTATTGTATTTTTACTATTCACATATGCTTTTCTTTTAGAAAACGATGTGGCTGAACGCAGAAGTGTAATAAAAGAAGTAATACTAGAGGCAGAAGCTTTTGATGATATTGAGACTCAGGCTGAAATGATGGTGCAAGCTGCTATTCTTGACCTGCAAGAAAAATGTCCCATCACAGGAATTAAACTTCTTTTGCAGGTTTGAGCACAAAGGAGAAACTGTTTGCTTTTCTTGGATGCATTTTTCACGTAGTTGGAACCGCTGATACCAGCATTAAATAAGCTTGAAATAGTGGCTCTAAAATAAATTTTTTTTCACTTTGTGTGATTTGTTCTTATAAATAGACAGCAAAAGTAGTAACCACTTTGGTTTATGTTGTCTATGTCCAAACAGAATATCATCAGTTTACTCCAAGAGGATACATTTATTTCACCTCCAGCTTCTTTGACTCTTGTGAAAAGTATGCTTCTTCTGGCAGATATACTAACACTGCAAACAGTAGAGGATACAGAACATTGCCCTTCTACACTGGAACCATTAAACTTACTAACTTCAGCACATGAGCTTACCATGAAAGCAGTGAGTATATGTTGGTGATTTACACAGCATTTGCAAATCCTTCCAACATTCTTAATTACCTATTCTGGAAGCTATTTTAACAATATACTAAAAAGGGCTATTCCTATTAACTGAACACTTCCATTTTAATTTAATTTCATTCATTTTATCACTGGATTACACAGTGTAAAGAAGTAATTCATCTGACCAAATGTATTTATGCATACTCATCATGCATACTCAGGTATGTAGTCTGGTATTTTCATACAAGTTAAAAATAATGAATACTTGAAAAATGTACATCCACATGTGAAAACTGGAATAGGTAGTTTGACTTTTAAACAGATGCAGAACACTCACATTTCCCATTTGAAATGAGGGATATGTTCATACTCAGCGCCTCAGGAAGAATGTACATCTCACAAAATTCCTAACTCTTGAGCATCCAAGTTTAAGAATTTAGCTTTGTATCTTAAATTAGAATAACTTGAATTAGAAAATCTATATAAAGTAGCATCTTGTTGAAGATGTTTTAGATTGACAGACTGCTACAATCAGTATGAAGAAATAATTTCCATGTAAAAATTTAAATGTTCAATAAAATAAATAAATCTAAAGAAATGAAATCTGTGAGAGGAATGTATAGTAATAAACCATTTACCTATTTGGTGATCCAAAACCAGATATGCGCTTCTGCAGTCTCTACCCATTTTTGATACAGTTTATAAAGAAAAGCTTTTGGATCAAACTCTTTCCTCATATTTCCTAATATAGAATTTTAATCCATTGAAATATTTGTTCCCCCAAGTAATAAAGAATCATATGAATCACTTCAGATTCAGACTTCCACTTGTGAGACTTGCTAGCCATCAAGAGACTTAACACTTTACAGCACGTCTCCATCCCTTATTTCCATGAATGAAAAGTCTGACTGGTCCGTACATGTTGTTTCATTTTTCTTTTCTGGCCTTTCTTGGATGTCAGATTTCTCTGTAGAAATGACAGTTTCTTTCAAGGGCTTGGGTCACTTGGGAGATCTCTGTCTTAAAGACCGATTTGAGGGAGTTTGCTTTTAGAAACCAAACCTTAACATTAATAATTTGATCAAGACTTCGTTAAAATTGTTCTTTTGCTACCAAACCCCTCTGCCAAGAAGATAACTACAAACTGAAGTAAAGGAGTCTGGGAGTATCAAGCCCTTTTCTAGTGCTCTTCTACAAGACGGGTTTGAGTTCCAGGGTTTTGCAATACCTAATTTACTTTTTCAAACTGCTAATTAATTTGCTGTCTGCAACTTGATTTTACAAAACATACTTTTTTCATAGATTTTTGTTTGTGGAGAACCCATTGAACAGCAAATTGAAGACAGTACATTGACTTGCCTGGTCCTACCTACAAAAAATATCTACTTGCCACATATCAACTTGCTAGCCCAAGTCAAAATGAGAATTGGTAAGAAAAATGCAAGTCATTATTATTTTTAATTTTTCATTAATTTTCATTCCTATTTTGTGCAACAACAGATAAACTGATGCATCAGAAGTGAATGTAGTAAATCAACAAAATAAAATATTTTGAAAACCAACAGTAGATGCTCCATGAAATGTGTATAAGCAAGGTACAATTCCTATGTGAACTATAATCAACAAAGGCTTAAATATTAATGTTATAGCTCGATGAAACTAATGGGAACTTACCTTTTTTTTTTTTTAAGTGGAACTTAACAATACTTTTCCAACTTGCACACAAAGCATCTATTCTGTGAAAACTTGTATATGTTCCATCTCTCTGGAAGTATTTATATGGGAAGTAACTAATAATATCAAATCATACAGAATAATAGTGAGAATTCTCTATCCCAATAAAATAAATAGTGTCTGTTATTGTTGTCACCCTTTAATTTAACAACTTTTCTGGATAACTTTTCTTTATATAGAAATCTGGAAATACGCTGAATAGTAACAGAAAATAACCTTTAAGACTGAGGTTTGTTGCTCTATAGCAAATATAGGGAAAGGGATATTGCCTTCGTGTTCCTTCTGCTAACCTTAATTTTGTGTATACCTGACTTATAATGGACTAGAAAATCTAGAAATCACTTACTGCACTTTGGTTTGCATTGTGGAGTGGCCTCAGAGTGTTCTGGATTCTTTTTCAGGAAGATGTGCTCAGGAGCACACCATTGCATCCCAACCACTACTTTGATTTCAGCCCTTAGGGCTAGAATAGTCCAAAGTAAACACTCTGAAATGCATCTGCTGTGCCTGTCAGGCCTTCAACATCAGCTAGTTTGCTCTAGAGATCAACTCTTGCTGTGCTTTACTGCTTGTCAGTGCAGGCACGACCAGACTCACTCATAGTAATGGTCATGTGTGACCAGTTCCTGTTTCTGATTCCACATTTTTAGGGACAGCCTATGAATACAGACAAATATTGGGGAGTACAGTATAAGAGGTATGCAATACATCAAACAAGCCTTTAGAACTGGCTAGTACAAAAAGAATTTTGGAATTTGGAAATGTTCAGAGAGGTTTAGAGTTTGCCTACAATGGCCTAGTGAAATAAAGTTATGAAGTGGCTTACTGCTAGTCTTTTCATATAGTTTGTGAAAGGATTGATTTATGTAGCCTGATCTTCTTTTGGGTGGCCTAGGTAAACCTTAATGGCATCTTAAAGTAGTTAAACAACATTATAGTTCTGTATTTATATCCATTAATCACTTGGATTTTTGAGAATTGTAACAGTAAATACATAACAGCATTTGTTCTAAGGAAGTTGCTTCTTTTTGCTTAAATTGGTTTTCTATTAAATAATTTACTAAGAACTGCAGGGTTTTTGTGTGTGTGTTTTTTGTTTGGTTTTGTTTGGTTTTTTGGTGTTTTTTTCCTCCTTAGGGCACGCATTAGCTGAAAAAGTAGCTTGTACACCTGCAAGAGGAGACCCACTGCAATGGCTACATGCTCTCAAACATTTAGAATCAGCATTGAAGCTTTGCAGAGCATCTGCAACAAAAAAATTAGATATGGAAGCTGAACTTCTTTTTCAGATAGGTAAATAAAACCCTGTTTGTACATCGTCATTACCTTCCTAGGCAATATTATGCATGTGGCCTCTCTTGAAATGGAGACATTTTACTGTAAAAAGTAGATCACATGCGGGTATTTCTTGCCCTGTCTAGCTGCAGATCTCTCTCCTGTGTTTAGTATCACACCAGCATAGTTCAGGATGCATTACACAACAGAGAATTTCAAAACTGCAGTAGAACTCCCAGCTGTGTGTTATCAGGAACCAAAGGGTGTAGCCAACGAGATTGACACTGTAGAGAGATAATTAGCTTCTTTACATCAGTCTGAACCAAAGGAGGGGCTCAGAAAGTATTTCTAGATGATTTAACAAAGCTACTGAATTACACAGTGTTTGCATGCATTTGGATTTTAGTGGCATTATGTTTTGCACCAGGAGGTGTTGGTTTGTTAGCATCCCAGCCAGAAGAAGGCAGTCAACACTCTGTAAAGTGTCTCTTAAAATGCCATTTATTGGACTTAACACTATAAAGAAAGAGAGGATAGTGTAGATAATCTTATGGCCCTTCAGATGCTTGTGCAGTATTGAATGCGCTTCCAATCAGGGTGCAGCACAACACGCAGATCCTTTCTGTGGAAAGGTTGCCTCATTTTGGTCTTTTGTGCTGTTAGAGGATTTTCTTAAAACAAAACAATTCTATTCACCATTTCTATGGTCAAACAAAAAGCTTATTCACATAAGAACTTCTTGCTGCACTTTTACAGAAAGGGCAGGTGGTGTAAACACTGATGCTGAGAAGATGCTGCCAAGGGGTTCTTTTACAGCTAGCTGGCTACAATCACCCTGTGGCTAAGGGATGTGCACAGCACAGGCCTGCAGGCCACACTCTATGTGCAGCGCAGCGCAGCACAGAACAGGCTTATGCCTGTACATTAACTCCCCCATGTACAATGGTCTTCTAGTCAGGATCACTACATGTTGGGAGTCATTATGATTCCAAAGCTTGATTATTTTAGCCACTCTACGAAGTGAGTTGCTATACAACCATTGTGCATTACACTTTAAGCAAACTGGAAAAGATTTTGCTTATCAGGAAGAAAACAGATAATGCACCATGTTGTTCAACATTCCTGGAGGGAAAAACAGGTTGGGTCTTACAGAAAAAAAATAAAATCTTGTAAATCTGCTTTCTATATTTTTTTCTTAGGTAAGGTAGAACGCCAGATAACTGAAGCAGGCAATAACAAGTCATCTCAGGCTGTTGAAACCCTGTTGGAGGCTATAAAACTCAGCCAGCAACATGATCAAAAATTTGAGTAAGAAACTAGCTATATAAGTTTCAAAATAATTTTAATCACATATGAATATAGGTTTTTGACAGTTTTCTGAGATTTGGTGTAGGATTTCTATTATGAAGCATCTTTTACATTTTGGATAATTTTTTTCTATTGCAGTATAGAAGAGCTACTGTATATTGATTCTTTTATTTAAAACAAATGCTGAGAACATTTTAAAGCGTATTTTAGAGTATACAAAGTTACAGCTTTCTGTTCTATTTCCAAATTTGTACCCCCTCTGTCAACACCAGAAACAGAGCTATCAATTAAACAGGGGGTTTATTCATATTTCAGAAGATGAGCTGTGGTCTGCCCCTTTCCAGGCAATAGAAATCCAGCTTGAAAAGGTTAGCAGCCAGAAACAGTCAGAACAACAGAGGCAGAAGGAGCACAGGAAATGTGTTTCTAACAGATATCAGGACAGTGACTTTGGCATCAGTTATCAGCATAGAAGATGCCTGAAGAGCTGAGCCAAGCCAGCCAATGAATTCTGTCAAGCAGCTTCGATACGTTGGACTTCAGTTTTTTTTTAGTTTCTTGACCAGTCGTAATGAATAATGTGCCATGTCTGGTTACAGACAGTGTAAAGGCAGCAATTTACCTTGCTCGTTTGGGTGTTCTTTTACTTAAGTTAATGAACCAGAACTCTGAACACAGAAGAAGTAGCATAGTAATAAACCTCTACAAGAAGTCAGCATGATGGAAGATAGTACCAAAATGGACTGCGGTGTTTTGCAAGTTTAATTTGCTACACTCTCATTTAATTTGCTGCTGTCTTTCTAAAAGAATGTACAGCAACATCGATGGACCTTGTCTTTCTTATTTTAGAGAACTAAACATCTCGGTCACCTTTATACAAGCCCTCTGATACTTATGGGATTGTTTAATTAAAGTTGTTTCTTGATGTCTCAAATCCTTTTTTGTTAGCAAGACTGGAAAGTTAACTAAATTGTCACCAACTAAGTGTAGAACTTGCCAGCTTCCCACTTAATTTGCCCTATCTTGAACTGTACAGCACTCTTTGACTTTTGTATTTTGCTTTACATAAATCATATCAAAGCTGGAATATATTGTACTATATAAACAGCCAATATGACTCTGTCCAGAATAGTAATTACATGAGCAGGAGTTTGTCGCTATGCTTAGGAAAGCTAATTCACATGGGAGATCCAAAGAGATCTACAGAGCCAGGAGGAACCAGCATAAAAAGACTGCTATAAACCCGTAAGAAATAGAAATGTTGGAGTTGTTCTCCAGATACAGTAATTTTCAGCAGGTCAAGGGAAGAAATTCTGCCTGTCTGCTCCGCTCTCATGAGACCCCACCTGCAGTGCTGTGTTCAGCTCTGGGGCCCCCAGCATAAGAAAGACATGGACCTCTTGGAGTGAGTCCAGAGGAGGGCCACAGAGATGATCAGGGGGCTGGAGCCACCTCCCCTATGAGGACAGGCTGAGAGAGTTGGGTTTGTTCAGCCTGGAGAAGAGAAGGCTCTGGGGAGACCTTATTGCAGCCTTTCAGTAATTAAACAGGGCTTGTAAGAAATATGGGGCTTTTCTGTAATAGGGCTTACAGTGGTAGGACAAGGAGTAATCATTTTAAAGCAAAAGAGGGCAGATTTAGACTAGATATAAGGAAGAAATTTTTTACAATGAGGGTGGTGAAACACCAGAACAGGCTGCCCAGAGAGGTGGTAGAAACCTCATCCCTGGAAACAATTAAGGTCAGGTCGGATGGGGCTCTGAGCAACCTGATTGAGCTAAAGATGCTCCTGCTCACTGGAGGGTAGTTGGACTAGGTGACCTTTAAAGGTCCCTTCCAACCCAAACTATTCTATGGTTCTATGATTTTTGCCTCGTTTATAACACCACTGTAAAACTAACTGAAAGGAGAAGTAAGTATAGGAGCAGAACAGGAACTGGTGAGCACAGTCTATCTGAAGATTCTGGTACAGAACTCAGAACTGAGAAGGTTCCTCAAATGACCCCAAAGAAGAAACAAAAGACTGTTTTGGTCACTGTGGGTGTTTTTGCTGATTCTTGGAAGAGTTTGACTGAAGATCCGTATCCCATACGTGCCTTAACTTGAGGAAGGAAGAGGAACCTGTACAGATTCTGCAGAGAAATACCACTTCCTTTGCAGAACTAGTTTTCTTACTAAACATTTGCAATTTATTTATGGAGTACTTTTTGCATGTAATGCAAATTATATTTGACATACACTTAAAATAATGTGTTATTTGTTAAGCATACCATAGGGAGGTTTTAGAATCACTAAGGCTTTAAAACAGGATCGCGTGGCTTTCTGAAAGAAGATGAGAGCTGGATGAATGATTTATTTGGTGAGGCTGTCTGGCTAGTCTTATGCAGGAGTCAGATTGTATCATTGTAATGCTTACTTTGATAAGTAAGCATTGATTGATCTGTGTGTTGTTTCTTGCAGGTTAATAAGAAGATCATACCTCGAAATAGCACTATTATATTTGCATTTTGCCACAAATAATGAGAATGTGTCACAGAAAGATAAGATGGTGCCTTCCAAAACGAACGTATGTTTTCTATCTTTTGGGTAGTAGCTTCTTCAAAAAGGAAATATATTTCCATTAGAACACTGTGCACCTATTGTGCCAAACTATTACTTACAGTGACCTATAAATCACACTGATATTGAAAAATCCTACTACTAGAAAAGTCACACAAACACATCGTATAGTACAGCAGTAGAATTTTATCTTGTTTGATGTTATTTCTCACGTTTATTGCATTGAATGATAACATTTAAAATATTTTTCTGTATAAAATAGGAAGAAACAGAACTAACAGTGTTTTAATTTCTGATTATGTACTAATGAATTTGTAACTTGCAAAGAAAACATTTAAACCTGTTTTTTAAGCACTAATATTTATACTTTACCAGATTTCAATTTTTCAGTAGAAATTAATGACAGCATGAGAAATATAAAAGGCTTTAACCATGTTAAAATGGCTACAAGCCGTAGATTCAAACCATAATGTGTAACATTAGAGAAAAGAGGTAATTAAGATTCCAACGAATGAAAATTATAGCAAAACTGTATTCAGTAGTCACCATAGTATGAGTTGCTCTAAGAAAATTTTTACAGGAGCAGCCAATTAGTATGCTCTGGATAATTTTTTTCAGTGTTAACATTTAATCCATGGATTTACAATCAATGCCGACTTTTACAACTTGCAAATAAAACAATAGTTCTCTAAGTAGGAGAACTTTCTTCTATAATAAATATATTTTACCGTAGTACATTTAGAATCCTAATTATGAACTGGTGTATAATTTTAGACATGTTCTGGAGACCTCTCTTCTGCTGAGGAGGCTCTGAAATCAGAATGCTACAAAGTACAAGCCTGGATTGCAGTAAGAGCAGCTACACAGGTTGGTGCAATATTCTGAAGAAGTAACTTTTTTTTTTTTTTAATTTCATCTTATGCTACTTACACAGGCAAACAAGAAAATGCAAGCAAGACAAGAATTAAGGTTTGCTAAAATTTCTGGCATGGGTCTTATTTGAGGAAATTAAAATGGACACTGCCTGAGTAGTGCATTTAATCTCTCTTGGACAGATCTGACTCTATTTACCTCAACTTTGATTTAGTGCAAATAAAACAGCACACTGCCTGATATATGTGCACAGGTATTTGACGTGTGGGTAGACATCAGTGGCATCCAGGTGAGGATATCTGATTTGAAACCACTTATGTAGTAATTAAGCTGTCAGCAGTAATGCTTTATTTAAGTATAGTATGTACCATATGTCAGAGAGAAATAGAGTATTTTCCTGACTTTAAAAAATAAAGTATGTTGAGTAATTAATTTTTTGTCATCATCTTGCTACTCTCAGATTTTAAAATCTATATAAATATTATAGTGAAATGGTTCTGAATAAAATAATAATTATTTTAGGTCAGTGAAGCTGTGCTTGCTTCTCAGCTATTAATTGGAATGAAGAGTGTTAAAGAACACAGCATGAAGGATGCAGTGCAACAGAAAATCCCAGAATTTGCTTCCATGGATCTTCTTGCTTTGTACAGAGAATTCTTATCTGGTATTCCTTTATACCTAGTAATATTAGAACATTAAATAACTAAAAACTATGTATGCCATATACATTTAATATCTGATTTCATTTATGAAAAATTAAAAGTCAAATTTGGAAAGTAAAAGCAAAATCCTCATCCCACATGGCAGTACAAAATATTAAGCAGACTTACTGGGTCTTTAAATATCAGTCTGTGCATGTGTTCAATAGGTTAAGAAAAATTGCATTGCTTGCACAGTATGGGTCAGAAAAATAGAGTCCATATACTGCCATACTTTGAGGAAAAAAGATGTCACAGGACTTCCCCAGACTTCTGGAGTAAGTTTTGGCCCCCTTATCAGTCATCACTGCTTTTCTTTTCAAACACTGATTTAGAACAGATGTTTTCCCTGGATATATTACCTTTTCCTTGGAGATTTTCAGTTTTTCTTTTGATTTTGCAAAGACATATTAGTGTCGAATAACTTGTCTCTCCCTGCCCCACCACCCCCTCTCCCTCCAAACAACCCAAAACACCAAAACCAACAAACCAAAATTCTTGCAAAGTTATCTGACTGGGTACTGTATTCTAAGAGTCAAAGTCAGTATAATAAAAAAAATTTCACTGTCTTTCTACTCCAATGGATTATCTTTTAGAGATGCTCCATTAGCTTGGTAGAACTTTGCATTTGCCTGGTTTATTTCTGACTAACTTCTGCATTTACTTTACAGCTAATGGAGCTGATGAAATGGAAGTTTTTGATTTAAAAAAAAAAATCAGTGAAACTAGAAATTCTGGGATAATGGTTGCCAGACATTATATAAACACTAAGGCAAAATATCTATATTTATTTTTAAACTGGGAACCATTAATTTAGTGATAAAATTTTGGTTCAGTGGCTTAATTTCAGTCATCCCAAGTGACTGACAAAGATTGAATTGCTCTGCCTGATAGTTGCTGGCAAAGCTGAGCAATGTCTGCTTACTGTACAGTGTTTAAACATAGGTGTTTTGATTGGTTTATGAAAACAAGTGTTGTATGCTAAGACTTTCCATCAATCTGATTGTTTTATACTAGCTCCATTTGCTCATAATTACAGGTCATTTTTTTCTTTTAGCAAATGCAGCAGGTGTTTCTCCTGATAGTTCTGTTAGGCAATACAAAGAAGAATAGAAAATGTAGAAAGGCAATAGTAGGCCAAAATATATAAAGGTAAATTGAAATGGAAATGATCAGCACGGCATGCTAAATATTTTCTGTAAAACCATTAGTGAAACACATTGTTTAAGTTTCATCTATAAACAACATGGCCATTTTAACTAAATTCAGTTTTTACAATTGGCAGTGAAATATCAGGAATAATGGAGACATTCACATTTTGTAAAAGCACACGTAATTATTTTCTGGACGTTTACAGTTAGGAATTACTGTAACATAATGTTTGTTCAATTTGGAATGAGAAACAGAGCAGAAGAATTGTGTGGGCTTTTGAGAGCGCCATGTACTGATACAATGGAAAAAATATTGAATACGAGCAGTGATATAGTGATAACTGTACCGGTATTTTTTGTCTTCTTTTTGCATAAGTATAACTTTTAAGCAGCACCAAAAAAGATTTTTTTAGTCCATAGTCAAGAACACATTTCATTGATAACGTGCTTAACATCTGAAAGCAACTGGATTGAAGCTAACAATAAACATTTCAGAGTACCTAACTCTTCTGAGTTCAGGTCAATATAACTGGGAAGTTCAACTGCTGTAGTTATGACTGATAACTCTCAGTATCGATCCCACTTAGTAAATAACTGCTATTGAACAATGCATAGAAATAATCTTTTCATATTTAAATTCAGAGAGTGAGTGAGCACCTAGCTCTCTACTCCTTTTAGCTCCTTGCAAGGAGCAGTCAGATTCCTGGCCATGATCTGAGAAATATTTTCTTTACTAGCTCAACTAATATTAAAGCAGAATAGAAAGAATTTTCCTCTAATGAAAACCATAACCCAGTTCACAAGTTACATTTTTAGTTACAGATTAGTCAATTCCCACACAATGCAGAAATAGCTTTTGAATTGCAACCGCTCACTTAATGTGTATTGTTGAACTGTTATTGGATTTGCAGATGGATACAATGTTGTCTCTGAACGTCCCAAAGCATCTTCTGGTGAAAACAAACAAATCATACAAGATAAGCAGAGCCAAAGGGAAGGAACAGAAAGTCTTGCCGCCAAGGCCAGCCAGAAGAAAGAGACAATAACATGGGTTCACTTAATTCGCTACCACAATTATTTAAAAAGACTTTATAACACAAACCTTCTATTTGGTATGAATTTTTAATTCTGCTAGAAAACTGCCATAGGTGAGATATTGTTCTTGGGGACCAACAGTGTCAGATTCAAAGGCCATTATCTGAGATAGTCTCGTTTTAAGTTCCTTTAAATTGTATAAATGAAAAAAAAAAAAAAAAAAAGTCTTCACTGAAACCAAGATTTATGTCAGTTTACAAGTGTTGTAAGGGAAGATATTATTACCTTTTTTTCTGGTAATTATTCATAAGCCTTCGTGATACCAGGAAAACCATCCCTCAAAACTTGCTATTAGTATATCTGAAGCATTTTTAAAAAATTCATCCTCTGTATTCATTTCTAGTTCTAGATACATCAGACTTAAGTCACCTGAGAAATAAATCTGTTCAGTTTGGGGACCTGTTTGTGAGACCTCAGTGTGGTGTAATGGGAAGGCTGAGCATTATTGAGTGTGCTTTGACTAAAGCCCCAGATGTTATGTACATACTTGGTTTATTTCACTATAAACAAAAGATGATAATAGATAGGGCCTTTCAAATAGAGTAAGAATCCATTAATTTGAGGGCCCTAATATTATGCATCTACATCTGATGGCCAGCTGCTGGGTTTACAAGTGACAACCTGATAGGTGAGAACAGAACTAGATCGTACATATAGGTGCTGGCTAGAGAGAAACCTCGCAACGCTGAAATTAATAATTTCAGAGAGGGTTGGGTTTTCTCCTTGCAGCACCAAATGAAAGTAAAGTATTCTACCTCACCACAGAACCAGAAGGACAGTAAGGTATCTACAAGTAGGTGTCAAAATGTGCATGTGTATCTCAGCTGTAGTTACCAGTGATGGATCCTAGGGAGCGGCAAAGCTGATCAGCCACTACTTGTCTAAATTACAGTCCTAAGAGCTCTTAGAGCTTCTTTTGACTGCATTGAATACATATGTGTTTATTCTAGTGGGTGCTTAGACATCTAGCGAACATATTGATGCTTACACGTCTAAATTTAAGTTCCTAAACCCCAAAACTGCACCTCCCATTTTATGCTACTTTATAATGTCTTGATAGAGCTTGTTTCTTTATCTCCAGTGAAAAATTGCAATACAAACAGCATAACCTGGTAATATTTAAAGACAATGAATATATTTGTTGGAAATGCATTCATTTGATATTGAATTGATTTACGTATTTTACTATATTTTAAAGATGTACAAATATTGAGTAGCTGTAGAAACTTTACTTTTTAATGGCAAATTAATATGTAACAAAAATCTCTTTTCAAAGCTGCTCCTGACTCAGGGCCTGGATCATTTTCTGCAAGAGATGGACACCTTAGTTCTGTTTTTGACACAGGGATTGTTCTACGCATAGCAGAAATGCATTCCTTTCTTAAAAACCATCTGTTTGAATATTCAATGTGTTGTCTTGAGAACTGCCCAGAAGAGCTACATGATGTAGAATTGCCACTTGGTAGGCCAGCTGATTCTTCAGAGGTACTTATTTTCTTTCTGATGTTTCAGAAATATGTGTTATACTTGTATTTTGCTCACATTCTTGCTGGTTCCAATGGTGATATTCTGAGAGCACTGTAGAAGAATGAAATTCATTATGCAGAGAATAAAATCCTGTGCAAGCAACGAAGGACATATTTACAGATGCAAATACCTTGCCCAGTGTATTTAGATCCTAGAAGATAAAGAAGAATGATATTTAAGAAGATTTTATTATTATATATAATATATAATATATATTATTATATGTTGGCTGTGTTATTTGGTAGGACTGAGGCTTTTAATCTTGTACATCTCTATGTTTCATAACAAAAATGTCCTGAGGTGTGCTTTGTAATTTGTACGTACAAGACTCTATATGGTTAATTTGGCCTATCATAAACACACGATTTTCAAAAATATATAATTTATATTTTCTTAAGATTTGCTGAAGGCCTTGTGTGCCAATTTTTTTCACTGATTATCAGATGGCTAGAAAATCAATCCTTTCAGATCTCTGGCTTGTGAACAGCCTCTTTGAGCTTTCCAATGTAGGCAGCTCAGACTGCATTACTCAGAGAAATCTTGAATTGCAATTCTGGAGTCTACGCTGACCATGGCATATCTATTGAATATTGAATGGTAAAAGTCTTTGAAGATTCAGTGTAAAAATAATTGTCTTCAAAGATTCTTCATCCCACTTCTCACATTAATAATTATGCTAATACTAAAAAATTAAAATGACAGGTCACTCTCCATGGTTTATTTTTTATCTGTTGTGTTCAGTATTGGATGAAGACAGGGGAGCCTTGAGGAGTGAGTACTTGTTATCTTATAAAAATGAATTAAAATACTTTTGTGGAAGTAGCTCTTCTAGAGTTGGTGAACTTTCTGCAGTGTTGGACAGCATATCATTACTCATTTCCCAACAAAGAGCTGACTGTGCCACTGAATAAATTGTAAATATATGGTACGTGACATTTATAACAGCCATCGTATATCAAAAATTATTTTACTCTGTCTGCTCTTTTTTTGACATAATTAGTATTACACTGTCCTAGAATAATAAGCTTCAGAGCTCACTGTCATGTTCATGACAGGTGCAAGCTGCATAATCATGTGTTAGCTTCACTGTTGTAGACAGCTAACAAGCATAAAGCTCTTACTTTTTTTAATTCTAAGCTTCATTGATTTTTATCACAACATTTTTAGAAGCTTCAACTATTCATAAAGCTGTATAAGTTATTTTTAAAATGTTACTGTAATTTGATACTGGGATTTTTAACAGTACAAATAGATACAATTTTTGAAAGAATGATTTTTATGTACAAGGTTGTTTCGCTTACATGTGCCTTGTAATTCTATTTTGGACTCTTGAAGGGTTTTTCAGCTCTGCTGTACAAAGAATCCAAATTACATTATGAAGGCTGTAATTAAAATGGTATGCCCTGTTACATTTTGCATGCTTGCTTCTTATTCTACTCCATGGTAGCATGAAGGACTGGAAACACCTAACTAAGACAGTTTGCTGTTTTCAGGCTTTTGAGAGGGTTAAAGAGATAAATATTTATGTATGTAATTCAGCAGCCCTCCAGTTTGACAGAAGCAGTTGTAATATCCTTCCTCAAAAAGATTCAATATGATGTAAATAACAAAAGATGCAGTTCAGTGAAAAAGAAAACATACCACATGTTTTAGAAAGAAATATATATCATAAAATGGACTTTTCAGAGCAGGGGTGCAGCATAAATTAGGTCGTTTCCACCTCCATATATGTGTTTTCTCATAATTTGGTTTACACACCATGCTAGCAGGATAGTGGGTGCTTCATTGCCAAACTAAAGATCCCAAATGTAGAAGATCCTTGTAGTAGGGGGTGATCCATGCACACCTCGTGGCACACCATGGGTTATGGACACTGTTATCACTGCCTCAGTGTTTAGAGTGGCATGGATCATCCCCAGTTAATTGTCCCATGCCGTACTGAAGGCATATCCATATGCTTGAACGCATGACTTCATCTTCATCTTCACTTCTACCATATTTTGATGTGGGATGGGTTTATGAAGTTGATGGCTTTATGAAGTAAGATTTTGTCACTGTGAAAAATCCATCTTCTACTCACCTGGATTTACTGCCCTGTATTGGTCATGAGCTGTATTTTCTGAAAATGAAGTGAGTCAAATTCTCCAGTTCTTTTCAGCAATGAACATTGAACGTTAAAAAAGAACTAACTCCCCAGGCAGCTCTTTTCAGCGTCCACATTTTGAAATCAATGATGGAGACACTAACAACCTTTTCAAATAGCTTGAGCATTCCCCCAAAATGCCACTGTTTGGCTTCCTCTGTTCTTCACAGATTTGTGTAACACTTTAAAAAGTAGAAGTGGTATGGCGCTGTTCAGCCTTTATACCAAATATTTTACAAACTTAGAAAAAGCTTTTATTCATGAATGAATGTTGGTTGACAGTATTCCTCCATTACTTCCTTGGTAAATGACAGCCAAACAGTATCTATTTGATGAATAGCCTGCTAATGTTCCATATATATTTTATCCTCACAAATTAAATGACTGAATTTTCAGCAGGTATCACCCTTTCTTAGTTGCAACATAAGAATAAGAAAACAAATAGGTAAACATAAATAAAGCACTAGTCTAAACATTCAGATGACTGTTTTAATTATCAATATGTATAGGGGACAACTTGCTTTTTCAGCACTAAATTTTGTATGGCCAGCATGTCATATAATATCTTTTAGCAAAAAATGTAATGCCAGAAGGAAGACAAGTCAAAGGTAACAATCACTGTTGCTGTAGGTGTCTCTAAGTCAGCCCAGAGGTCCTTTGGATTACCTTTAGAAATGTCTCATCATGTGAACTTTGAAAAGCCTTAACTTGGTAAAATGGACACCCTTTAAAATTACCCATTTATCTAAATAAGCATATATTTGTGCAGGAGTGAAAGTCATATTGATTCTAGTAGACACTAGATTATAACAGATTTTGCGTGTTACAGTAGGAAAAATGCAATTTAAAATTTACTTCTGTGTTTCAGACGTCTCTTGAAATTACTGGAATTACATCAAAGATATCATGTGTGAGAACAGCTTCTCCGGTTTCTGTCGTCGCAGAAGCAGAGCGTCCATTGGAGAGTAGGGCAGCAAATGCTTCAAATAAGGAAATTCACATTCAGTGGTACATTCCTTCTCTAGCAAAGTCATCAAATGATACAGAGACTAAGGTATAACTACACCAAAACAGTTCCTTAGGTATTGGAACAAATTAAGTCTCATTCCCAATTAATATTTGTGTTATGACTGATCAGCTTTTTAACTGAATTATGCATACGCTGATTGGCCGGCTGGTCAGCAGGGAGCTGTATATTTACTGTGCCGCAAACCTGCTATGTAGGACAAACTGAATGCTCTGACAGTATTTTGGTGTCAGGCCAAAGAAATTGTTGCCCACACAGAGCTTCCAGGCCGTGTTGTATTCATGCTTGTGGCAGGTCCTTGATGTCTTAAGACCTCCACTCTGTTTCGGTTAGAACTGACCCATACATTCCAACTATATTTTTTGGTGGGAGGCTGTTGGAAAAGCAAAGATACATACATACAGGGAAAACGGGATTTTTGTAAACCTCATTTCCCTAAGAAATTAGACTAAACATGAAAGATGAGAGAGATTGGAGGGTTGCAGGAAAGCAAGAGACTAGAACATGTAATTTATTATATTTTTAAACAAGGGAACAGCATGTAGGTAAAATTTATGCTACTGCACTAGAAATCCATCATCTCCAAACTTTTTGGCATAGCAGATCAGTGTCATAATTTCTGCTAGACCGTGTTCATCTCTGTTAGTTAGCTGATAGAAACTCTGTGAAGTTAAGTGCAAATAATGTACTTTTCCATATAGTTTCGCAGGTTAGTTTAGCACGACCTTACGGATCATTAGAGATCCAGAGACAACTCTTGAAAACGACTAATACATGAATGCCACATTCTTGACATTCTCCATAGAGTCAAAATATTCAGCTGCCACTAGGAAGCATATTTTCAATTGTAATCGCAAAGTATTTCAGTGAAAGATAAGAAGATTATATTTCATTTTCTTGTGCTCTTATGTTGATACAGCTTTATTAGATTGGTGAGTTATGTGCACTTCATGGATTTAAACCTAGCCAGGCACAAGGCCATATAGCAAATTTAACTCATTACATAGGGCCTTTGGAAATTCAGTAAAAGCTCTCTGTTCAGCCTACCTGAAGTCAGAACTTTGGACATGAGCATAACTGGGATTGCTTGACCAAGATCAGGACAAAACTGGGATTTTGATGGTGGCTCTATAGGGTAAAATTAATTTTCAAACCCATATAAATGATATCCATAATTAAATTGCTTTAAAACCCATAAAAACTTGGGTATAGTCAAATTCGTATGAGGCCACGGTCCCCTCTTTTTTGAAAGTCAGTTATCTAAGTCTTCACTAGTGCACTTGTCCTGGTTTGGCTGGGAAAGAATTGTAGGCCAGCCATTAGCAGTTTCAAGCCAACCAGGGCAGCTGACCTGAGCTAGCTATGGGTGTAGCCCACATCATCATGTCATGGGCATTAGAAAAGGGGAAGGTTTGCTGAGGGAGCTCCTGTAGGATTCCTGTTGCTGGGATTCTTCCTGCTTCTTCTCTGCTTCTCCTGAGGACCACTCTGCAGTAGACCCTGACAACAGCATACTCATTTGGCTAAGTATTTTTCTGTTTGTCCTGGTGGTGTTTTCATTAAATCTGTTGTACTTTTACCTACTGGTCTTCTCTCCTCTTTTCCTATTCCTCTCCCTGGCTGTTGAGGGTTCACTGGGTGATAGAGGAATTGTTACAGTTTAGCGCTGGGTACAGGCTAAATGTAGACAACACTGTATTTGATAGTTATTATAATCTAGTATCACTGAAATAGCTCAGGTCTACTATACCATAACCATATGGCATTATAGCTTATCCATTCTATCCCTTTTACAGGTTTTGCTGCTTTATGCTTATAATACGGAACCTGTCAAGATTAGCAACATCAAGATTTTCAGTGCGAAGTCTATGTTTTCAGGCCACTTGTGGATTCCGTTGGCTAGGTAAATAATCATTGACCTTATCATGTTATTTCATGCTATAATAAAGATCAGTCAACCATTTAGGATGAGAGAAAATGAAGTACAGAGCTCTAAATCTTTAAAAGCATTCATTTTTGCTTTTCAGTGCTTTTTCACTATAGAACAAAAGTAAGATGTTGTACACACTGTTAAACTCGTGCAAACATATGCCTTTTCAGTACATTAGCATTTTAGTTTTGATTCTTAAAGAACTCAGTAATACACGTTAATTATATTACACTGACATAGCAATGTAAGAAAACACTAGGAAATCTAAGAAGCAATCCCAGCAGTTATTCCCATTCTCTCACTGGATCGGCTACGTTCTCCAACCCATATTGCAACTCTGAGCATGCTGGAATTTTTCTCAGTTGTAGCCCCAGACTCAGCCCTTCATTTTACATCACAGAACGGTTTGGATTGGAAGGGACCCTAAAGATCATCTAGTTCCAAGCCCCCTGCCAGGGACACCTTCCACTAGACCAGGTTGCTCAAAGCCCCATCCAACATGGCCTTGAACACCCCCAGGGAAGGGGCAGCCACAGCTTCTCTGGGCAACCTGTTCCCGTGCCTCACCATCCTCACAGTAGAGAACTTCTTGCTAATACCTAATCTAAATCTCCCCTCTTTCAA